GTATAAATAGTAAGCTAAGAGATAGATTAAACTTATAGAAAAAGATATAAAGGCTAGGCTTAAATATTATAACTTTTAGATTTATTATCTTAATAATTATATATATATAAGTTAGTTAAAAGTAAAGCTATTTAAACTAACCTTTTTAATAGATTTACTTTAGTAATAAAGTCACTATATAAAACGCCCTAAATAACCTAGAAGGCTAGGTCTTTTATAGACTTAATAAGAAATATAGGAAAGACTTAGTTAATATTTAAGGTTATAGAAAAGCTTATTAATTAGTTATATTCTAGGGAGGAATAGCTAGAAAAAAGAGGTCTTATTTAATCCCTATAATAAGGGATTTAACAGTAAAGAAAGGAGGTTATTCTAGCTAATCTTATTATAAGGCCATTATAGAAAGTCTTTTCCCTTTCTTTAATAAATTTAAGTAATTTTAACAGGATAACGCTAAAGTTTATATTATAAAAGCTTTAATAGATTAGTTATAACTTTATAGGCTTATTTTAATCTATTAGCTAGTATATTCCTTTAATTTAAATATTATTAAATATATCTAGAAAGCTCTAAAGTCTAAATTATAAAGAATTTATCCTAAATACACTAAGTTAGGAAAGAGTAAAGCTTATAGAAGGTTACTAATTAAATAGATCTAAGATATATAGGAAGCCTTACTTAATAACTTAATTAAGTAGCTAATAAAGTTAGCTGCTAATAGACTTTATATTTATTATAAAGCCTAGGGTTAATATATAAAATATTAATCTCTAAGTTAAGAGTAATTAATTAATATACTTTTTATTATAATATGATTTTAATTGAATTTATAATAGTTAAGTTAAATATCTGGTGATAATAAAATGGTGTTATAGGGTGCGGGGATATGTCAGACTTTTGGCCTTTAATTTTAGCAGTAAATGCCTTGAGTTCTTATTGTTTTGTGCGGGGTATTCCATCTCACGTGACGCGGATGGCTATTTGTCCGGCCTGCTGGCGGCCGAAATGGACCTAACCACTAACTCTAAGCCGTTTCATGTAGAAACGTGTAGTTGGTGTCAGTAGGATAAACGCAGAGGAATTCCAGGGTCTCATTTAGTTGATCCTTCATGGTTTTCGTTAGCCATATGTGTATCTTCTACTGACTTTCACTGGTAAAACAGCGCTACCACTACCAAATACTTCAAGACACAGTAACTACTTATTAAATGAGCTCAGTCATGATTATTGCATCCCGTCACATAGTCAATCTTGAGCGTGCCGTCCTTATACTCAATCTTGCCGCACTTCTTGCAAGTACCGTCTTTACGAATCTTCTGGTACCAATCTCATATATAAGATCTTCTATCCAGCTGGCCGTTGGATTGCTTGGCCGAATGGAGATAGACATAGTCTGCTTTCGGAAAAAGTCCAAAGCGAGCTTCTGCATAGGTCCTGGCGAAATGGATCGTGCTTCGATTGGTAGCTCCAACACCTGCATGTGTTAGCCCAAAAGAGGTGCCTTTCCGGAACCCCTGCCTCCATGAGACGTTGAGCACATCACCTGGCTTCCCTTTCTTGCAGCTTCGCGAGTTGATCCTGGTCGTTGTGGCACCCGTCTCGTTCACCAATAACCAAGCATCATGCCCATCACCGTTGATGTCTTCGAAGTGAACACCACGTATGTCACTGATGCCCTTAACAGTAAGACGCAAGCCGAATGGCTGCCAGGTAGGAGTGTCACTAGTACCCGAGTTCCTCCAGGCATGAACGTTGAACGTTTCCACGGTCGTCGACGACCATGTAGTCAGCTCGGCCGTTACCATCAATATCGCCCCACCTAACGCGGTTCTGATTATATCCTATGTATCCCTTGATTGTAGCAATCTTCGTAAATGCTAGTAGACATATAGGAGTTCTATCTTAATTGTTAATAAAAGCTAATATAGGAGAAAGTTTAAGTTATAAAATAAATTTTATATACTTTTTATATTCCTATAAAGTTAAAAATCTTAAATAAATAGCAGTATAGTAATATTAATATAATAAAGTTAATATTAAAGTAATATAATAAAATAACTCTAAAAAATCTTAAATACTCTACTCCCTACTTCACTTAATAACCCTATAGTAGTGACCTCCTCAACTCACAGAAGGGTTAGATCGCTTCAATGCCGAGTAAAAGCGCTATCCTCCTTTAACCACTCCCGCACTCCCTTGATGCCAGGGTGGATACTCCTCGCCAAAGCCATGTCAGCATTGTACCCTTCCGCCTTGAACCAGTCCAGCATGGTGCCGACCTCCTTAACTCCAGCCTTTAGCGCTTTGCCCAGAAAGCCAAACGTGGTTCCAATGCCATGGCCTGTAACCTCCTTGAATGCGATGTTCATCTCTCTGAACGTGAGCTCTTCTCCCGCGATGCCGATTGCTTTCTTCTTAAATTGCTCGTGCTCAGGGTCATTGAAAACCTCTGCTGCGAAGATGCCAATGTCTGAAGTCGCTATCCACTGCAGCGGCTTATCCTTCATCACGTCGCGGAAGCTCGTCATGAAAACCTTGGCCTCGAAGCCAGGCGCAATGTTGTCAAAGAAAATGACAGGTCTCAAGATCGTCCAGTTCATGCTACTCTTGCCGTTTGCTGTCTGTTCTCGAAGGTATTTCTCAATCTGGTTTTTGACCTGGAAGTGAGGGATATTGGTCGCTTTGCCCCATGACTGATCGTTGCCGCCGCGATCGACACTCGAGTAGACGAACTGTCGCACATTGCGCTTAATCGCCTCGTCAACCAGCCCCTTGCCTTGTCTCAGCTCAGTCTCTGATGTCGCTCCGCCGCCTACGGCAGCTTGGACAGAAAAGACGCCCCATATACCCCCGGAGGCAGCCTTCTCAGCCGCTTGGAAAAGTGCAAACACATTGTCAAGGTCTCCCTGAACGACCTTTACAGAGGACCTCTTAGCGAGACGCTGTGCAGAAGGGGACTGTGCATTGCGAGTGACGGCGAGGATGGTGAACTTGGAGGAATACCGTTTGACCAAGGCCTGCACGACGGCGCCACCTTGTTTTCCGGTCGCGCCAGTGACGAGGATGCTTCTTGACATTGTAGCCTGTTATTGAAGACGGTTGAGATAAAATTGTCTGTTGTAGGATTGGGGTTTATCTCTACTCTCCGCAACGGCTGACAGTCTCAGCTTTTATCTCCAACATGAATTAGGGACGCTGTCGCTCTTTCATTGAGATTAATAATTGTTTGTTCTTTACATTACCAAGCAAGATGCTGTTAGACAATCTCTCTCGATGAGCTGCTCAAGACCGGACACCGAGATGCGAGACAAGGGGCCTTTGTCAGAATGATGGTCACTCAGATCCACCAGTAACAAGAGTCGAGACTCACTCAAGCTTAAGCGATAGATTGGACGGCCGCTTCTGGCTATTGGCGGCATTGTAGAGTACATTCCACATATGTCGGAATCGGTCATGCTTCTTTTCATCAGAATGAACACTTTATCGAGGCTGTTGCAGAATAGAGAGACATACAAACCGGTCCATTCGAACTGCGAGGCGATTATACACACTGAACTCATAGTCCGATAAGGGCGGATGCTCTTCCGGTTTGTGAAGTTCGTGCTGCTTTGATATCTCCTTACCCATAGTTGATAGCGTTGAAAAAGTTGCGGCGTTATACTGGAGTTTAGATAGACCAGACTACTCAGTTTTCTTTCAAGTCATGTGGAATGACTAGCAGTTGATATAATAAGCGTATGGACTAGTGGGATTGTCAGAGCGGTCAGTCCAGCTTATAAATCACACTGCGTGCTGGGGGTTTTATCTCCTTAGGCCCTTGAAGGCTCGTGGGTCTTGGTGATGTATCTGAGCACCCGTCGGCGTTCCAGTCTGCGACGGCGAAGTGGAATCCAGCGTTAGTTTCGTGCAAGCAAGTGCCCATTGGCAGCATGCATTCCTGGAAGCCTGATGCGCCGGAGAGGACGTGCGCTTTAGTGCCGTTGATGCCTGTGCTGGATTTCTTGATAGCGAATATGTCCGGCTTTCTGCCAAAATTTCACCTTCCCATTGAGAAGGTCCATGTGTCGTCAGTTTAGTGGGTGCGGTCCCGGTTTGCAGAATAACGTCTTGCAAATTAGAGGCTCCGGAAAAGATGCGGGCATAGATGGTCTTAGTATCATTGCTGCCTTTCTTGTTGACAACGGGACCCGATTTCTTGCCACCGTCCCAGTCTACCAGGGCAAAGTCATATTGTGTTGCCTTTGTTACGGGCAGGCCACTTGTTATTTGTGCAATGAATGTCCTGAATAATGAGGCTCCAGAAAGGACGCTGAGTTCAATCATGTGTCTACTGGTGCCTCTCGACTTGAAAGCGACCATATCTGGCCAGCCATCTCTGTTCACATCGCCCATAAGGCATTTCAACGTGTCGCCAATCTCGTGCAATGCTGAGCCCCTATGCAAGATGAAAGGAAAACTATCGGACCCAAAGTTTCCTACAGACTCTTAAATCACTCTCTGACGTCGAATGAATGCATTTCTTCGACTCTCCCCGTATACAGGCAGCATATGTACGCCAAAGATTCTCAGTAAAAAGTATGCAACGTCCTCCTCCCGTTTTGTTTCACGGCCTCTTGCCCATGACATTCCTGTTGGGAGAGCAAGGTGTCTCCACCTTTAACTTCGATTGATACATGGAGAAGTACACGTAGCGAACATCTGCGTTGTGATACCAGTGGTACGTAGAATCAATTGCCTCAGAAAGCTCTACGCTGCTTGTTTTATGGATGCAGCAGGTATCCACCCAGAAAAACTGGATGTTGTCATTTGCACTTTGCTTCTCGCAAAACAGGAGCTTCTCATAGCCAAGATTGTTCTTCCCTTTGCCCTCAATCATGTCTTGAAAGGTAACCTCATCACAGTCCTTTCCCCAAGTGTGCGAAAGAATTGTATAGGGCGGGATATGATCGCCAACAAAGTCAGCTAGACCACGTTCGCCATCACGTCCAGTTGTAAGTAGACGCATGACTGTTGTCAAAGGGCTTTGGATTTGTCTATAGTTCAAAGAGGTGACAGGACTACTATGACAGAACGATGAGGCGAAGAGGCAGAATTTATCTCTGCTGACAAGTGGATATTTGCTGACATCCTGGCTGTATAAGTACATATCTGCTTACACCCTGGATAAACAAGGACATTATCTTATATAAGTAGATAGTTTCCTATAAGTACATAAGTCTGTTTCGACTTGATGTTTGTTAATTAGCAGTTCAGTTTAATGCAGGAAATACTGCCCTGCACATGTTACCATATTAATTCAATATTACATATCATCGTATCAAAGAGCAAACATTTAGCATCTTGTATGAATTAAAGTGCCTTGAAATAATTCCTTATCACTACTTGTACTACAGCTTGTACTGGTATAAGGGGCTCTTCTCGCCCATGATCTCAAGCTCCTCCTCTGTGTACTTGCTTCGAACCTCAGCCTCGCTGATCTTGGACCTCTTCTTGTTGATCATGACCAAAGCAGCCTCAAGGGTAACTGCAGCCAATATTCCTGCCACTGCGAATCCAAGCGATGCACCATATCCAGTTGTATACTTGGGCTTTTCCTTGTCGATATAGATGTAGCTGCCATAAATACCACCAATTGTACCCGCGCAGGTAACGAAGCCAATACTGATCGCTCGCTTGGTAGGATTGAGGTTGTTGTCGATGTTCCAGGCGCTCGTACCAGGCAAGATGGGATACATGCCAGCACAAGCGAGACAGACTGCAAAGTAGCACACCCCAAGATTCTGAACAATGAACTCGGCTTTGGTCATGAGGATAGAGAAAGCGATGATGATGCAGAGCTGGGGGCCGACGATGAAGGGCATTCTCCACTTGTGCTTATCAGCGAATCGAGCGAGGAGGTACGAAGAGATAGCTCCACAGAGATAGGGGGGAATAGTCATTAGTTGGGCATTGCTAGATGTGTATCCCATTCCCTTAACGATAGAGGGCATGGAGAACTTGAGACCGTAGTTGGGCGCAGCGTTGGACCAGGACATGATGACGAGGAGATATGCCTTCCAGTCCTTGAGAACCTCAAACAAAGCGCCCTTGTCGAACGTCTTTTCACGGTATTCGCCTGAGTTGGTGATGCGTCGGGAAGCCTGTCGCAGAACGAGATATCGCTTCTCCTCGTCGGTGAGCCAGTATGAGAGAGTGGGCGAGTCGATAAGCAAAAACCAGGTTACGAACGACATGACGATTGTGAAGATTCCTTCGATGAAGAAGATCCATCGCCAACCGGTCTGGCCGCCAATACCATCCATTTTGGCGATGGCGTAGGCGAAGAGGCCGGAGAAAGCGCCTCCAGTGGCAGCAGATGTATATAGAATCGCGACTCGAGTTTGGGTCTCGTGGGGGAGGTACCATTTCGAAATGATCAGAATAGCGCCAGGGAAGAAGCCAGCCCTGGTGATGTTAGAACACATGAGATATCGAGGTGTAGGATTACGTACTCAAAGAGACCAAGCAGGATGCGGATTGCGCAGAGCTGACCAAAGTTGTGGATTAGACCGGTGCAGACCACGACGATACCCCAGATGAACATGATGGTGGCCATGTACTGAAAGGGCTTTGTAAATTTGTTGAGAATCATGTTGCTAGGAATCTCGGCGAGAATATCTGCCCAAATTAGCCTCACTCAATACCACTCGAAAGCTGAACTTACATGGAATGAAGTAGATTGAGAGCGCAATGTTATATTGCTCTCCGCTCATACCAAGATCCGGAAGCATTCCCTCAATCTTAGCATTTCCGATATTCGCTTTGTCAATATACGTGACGAGATAAAGAATTGCCAGCATCGGCATAAGTCGCCACTAAGCAAGTCAGATCTTGTCTGCGCAGAGTGAAGCCAATCAACTTACATCAATCTTCGCCAAGACTTTCTTCTTCTTCTCCTCAGGAAAATTGGCGACAAACTCCATGTCCTCAACGGACAAACCACCATTGGTAGCCGCAGTATTGGCGTGATCGAGATGAGAGGCAATAGCCTCGACATCCTTCTCATCCGAGATAGAGTTCCTCAGAGCCATGATCACAAACTGAATCAAGTAAATGTTGGGAGTTGTAGTTGATCCTGGTGATTAGAGTATCACTGGATTGACGACTTCAATATCGGGGATATCAACTCCTTTTTATGGGATTAAAAACTTGGCATGGGGAGTTGAATGCGGGGTATGGGGTATCCAGTCTGGGGGAGGGAGACTAGCGCGTTTAGAGTTCTGAATGAGTCGTGCTTGGAGACGCACTGATGGTCTTGGATTGGAGGGGAGGGTTGGTTGGCTAGTAGGAGGGAAGACCGAGGGCGATGGCCGCCCGCTTGGTGATTATCTGTGCTGCCTAAGACATCATCGAAAGACTATTGCAGCATCAGTGCAGGAAATGTGATCATGTCGCTATCGGTTATATGACCGATTATTGTGATATTCACTAATAATTGTCTCGTGACGGCTTGCGATCTTGTAATGTGTCCGTAGGGAACAAATGCGACAGATAGACCGTGTTCATGATGAGGGCGACAAGCGAATGTATCGCGATCAGCCGAGTCAGAGCGACTGAGGCATTGGGCTAATTCAGTTCAGCAGCGAGCTTGTTTTGAAGTTATCTATAGACAAAGCAAATACGCGTATGCCTGCTTATGCTGCGCGTTGTTGTCTCGCCACTGAGCTTTGATCCAGACAAGGTCTGGGCCCAGGGATTGTTGTTAACGGGCGTGCGGCGATCAGAATCACTCACATCGGTTATCTAAGAGTGAAAAAACAGGAAATTTCTTTTGATCATGCATTTAGCGGCTATCGCCATGCTAAACGGTCTATTGCTTCCTCAGTTGCTTCTCAGCATCCGCTAGTACACTCAATGTCTTGACAGTCCACTCCTTGGACTTATCATCAAGCGGCTGATAAGGCTTCCTCATATGCCACGCCGTCTCGTTATCCAGTCCAATATCTTTACCAAGGAAGTGCCAAGCTCCATACTTGGTATTGCTGATACCCTTCTTACAAGCCCACTCAGCATGAGCGACAAGTCCTTGAAGCTTATTCGCCTCATCAATCTTTCCCGCCTTCCATAAGTCATAGACACCCGCTGTACTGGAGGGGAAGATGTTACCCATCCCTGTAACACAACCGCTTCCGCCACTGTGTAGTGTGGGGAGGAGGTAATCGCTGCTTCCACCGTAAACACCGAATTGCTCGTGCGAGAATAACGCTGTCAATCGAGCGAGCTTTCCAACGTTTCCGCAGGTCAACTTCACCGCTACGATATTCGGTTCAGAAGCCAAGGTAGCTAGTTGATCAGAATCAAGATCAATACCAGATGTAACAGCGGGAAAGTTGTAGATGACAATGGGTATCGGTGAAGCAGCCGCAACCTCTTTGAAGTAAGACACTATAGCTTGGCTGGGTAGTGCTTTAGGCCAGTAATTGGGCGGCAGAAGCAAACCGAAGCCAGCACCAGCCTCCGCTGCATCTTTGGCGTTCTGGATCGTCTCCTGCGTGGACTGTGCCGAGATGCCTGCCACAATGGGGTAGTCAAGTCCACGCTCCGCAGAAGCTGCCTGCACGGCTGTCTTGATGATGGCTTTGCGCTCTTCCCGTGAGAGGAGAACTAATTCGCCATTCGTGCCGAGATACACAAGACCATGCATGCCTGCCTTGATCAGGGCTTGACATTGGGTGTGCATAGCTTCATGGTCTACTTGCTGGGTTGGGTCGTCTGCTTTGTAGAGTGTGACGACGGGGGTGTAGACTCCTCTGGGGAGGGGCTTTGCCTTTGCTTGGATAGTGCTGCGCTCCATTTTGATGATTTGACTGGTGAGTGATGAACGTGTTGTGAAGATATGGCTTGATGCAGTAATCGTCTATGCTATCTCCGAGCTCTTAAGTGCACCAAAACTCCAAGGCCTACTGCGGGGTTGAACACCCGGAGACATTCCCGGGGAGCAATGGCAGCCAATGGGAGGGTTCGCCGTGACCCCAGCCCGATACTCGGCATTCCCGGGGCGTAAACAGCTGGTGGAGATAGTGAAGTGTAGCCTCGGTGATTAGCTTATTTTCAAGGTCTACAACTTGTTTCGTTCTTGGAGGTTCAGTCAATACTATCAGCAATCATGGAGACATCAATTGAGACGAGAAGAGTGTCCTTGGACGACTTGAAGCAGCATAACACGGCGAATGACTGCTGGATAGCTGTTCATTCCAAGGTCTGGGATATTACACATTTTATTAATGAGCATCCTGGTGGTCCAGAAGGTATGTTGGGTAACTTGGGGGGTTGTGGCGAGACTAATCATGATGGGTAGTGCTGTTGAACCTCGCTGGCTCTGATGCCACGGAACTGTACAATGATGTTCATGCGCCAGATATTATCGAAGACCTTCCCAGCGACAAGTTAATCGGCCTCCTCGAGGAATCTGTGATCAGTCGTGCGACCCCTAAAACTACCGAGATCGATCCCGTACCGCCCCCAACAGCACCAACACAGACAAACGACGTCCCCTCGACACCAACGACAAAGACAATCCCACCAATAGACGCGATACTCAGCGCTCCCGACTATGAAAAGGCAGCGCGAGATTCGTTGTCCGCGAAAACATGGGCGTTTTACTCGTCCGCGGCTACAGATCTCGTCACCCACGGGAAGAACAAGGAGCTGGTGCGGAGAGTCATGATCAGGCCTAGGGTCTTGAGGAATGTGTCGCAAGTAAACTACAAGACCAGTATTCTTGGTTTCGATAGTAGTGCACCGTTCTTTATCTCTCCTGCGGCGATGGCGAGACTTGCGCATCCTGATGGGGAGCTGGCGCTTAGTCGGGCTGCAGCCAATGAGGGCATTATCCAATGTGTAATTGCCCCGACTACTCAACCCGCCAAGTTCTTGACTGATAATTGGTAGATCTCGAGTAATGCGTCCTTTTCGTTAAAGTCAATCGTCAAAGCCGCGCCCCCATCACAACCCTTCTTCTTCCAGCTATACGTCAACTCCAATCACGACAAGACCGTCGAGTTACTCAAAACCGTACGTGGTCTCGGCGTCAAAGCAATATTTGTAACAGTTGACGCACCTGTACCTGGCAAGCGTGAGGCAGATGAGAGGGCGGCGCAGGAACAAACTGTCAAGTCGGCGATTAGTGGCGGTGAGAGCAGTAAGGATAAGAAGGGAAGTGGGTTCGGGCGACTGATGGCGCAGTATATTGACAAGTCGTTGTGCTGGGATGACTTGGCTTGGATTAGAGAGGCGAGTGGAGGACTGCCGATTGTGTTGAAGGGGGTACAGACTGCTGAGGATGTTATTAAAGCGGCGGAGTATGGTGTTGAGGGTGTGTTGTTAAGTAACCATGGCGGACGTTCGTTGGACGGGTAAGTCATTGCTTCTTTCAGTGAAAGGCAAAAGCTAATCTTTTTCAGTGCGCAAGCCAGTATACTAGTCCTGCTAGAACTACGGAAGAACTGCCCAGAGGTCTTTGATCAACTTGAAGTTTACATCGACGGCGGCTTCGAGCGGGGATCCGACATCTTAAAAGCTATCGCCCTCGGAGCAACAGCAGTTGGTATCGGTCGACCATTCCTATACTCTCTCATCCATGGCCAAGAAGGCGCCGAGCATCTTTGTCATAGTAAGTTCTCTGCGTTGCCCAAAACATGATCAAGCTAACGAATCGTAGTTCTTAAAGATGAGTTAGAGACTTCAATGCGTCTTTGCGGCATCACGTCGCTTAGCGAAGCTAGACCTAGTTTGGTGAACACTTTGGATGTTGATCATATGGTGGTTGGCAATGAGTACACGCGGCTGTTATCGAAGCTGTAAAGGGTATTCGCGGCAGGAGAAGATATCGATGGTATATAGATCTGTGCTACCAGTAACATACACGTGCTCAATATTACTCTACATCGTGTTTCGCTGTTCCTCTATGTTTTGGCCCTTATATCTGAAGCCTCAAGTTGGCCCTTGACTTATACTAACTAACATTGGCTGTTGCAGCGTCGCGGGCCATTTTACAGGCCCGTGGCTTTCTCTTACGTGCCTGGCCACTGGGACGTGGTTCAAAATTGACTGACAATAGGTACGAGCCGTCGGCCAATTCACCGACAGCATGCACGTCATCTTACAAATCGGTCCGAACGACCGGGCATGTGTACGGTACTTGTTCACCACTCAATCATCATTTCACATAAGCCTTCACTTGGCACTGCTACCCCAACATGTATCTATTCGCAAACTATGTGTTGGTAATTTTGGCATGGAACGCCTTAACAGCATCCAGTACTTTCCCATCCGCTTCCAATCCAAGACCATAAGCCCTAGAAACATCAAACCTCGCTGGCCAACTACTTACAATAGCCTCAATAGTCGGATCTCTCTTCTCCTCAATCTGCGAAAGTGCCTTCTCACCGCCAACCTCCTTCAGGGCGTCTAATATCTCCTGCACAGTAACAGTAATGCCTGGCAAGTTGACCACTCTCGAGTCACCAAACTTCTCCTTTGGAATGTCCTTAATCTTGATGAGATTCTTGATAACCGTTGCAGGACTGCAGACCCAAAGCACGAGGTCTCTGCTAACGGGTAAAATATTGGGGACTCCTTGGAGAGACTCTCGGACAATGCCTGATGCAAAGCTTGATGCAGCTGCTGAGGGTGCGCCTGGGCGTACAATAACAGTGGGTAATCTGACGATCCGTCCGTCGAGAAGACCGCGACGGGAGTAATCATTGATCAAAAGCTCCACCAGCAACTTCTGAATGCCATATGAACTCTTAGGCAGAGGAAGTGTGCCAAACTCCGTCACTAGATCCGTCTGTCCATAGATAGCGCACGAGCTAGCAAATATCACCTTCGTACCAGGATATACAGTCCGCAGCACGTCAAGGATACTTCGCACCGAGTCAACGTTGATCTTGAGTCCTAGGTCTAGATTGGCTTCTGCGCCACCGGACATGAGACCATGGAGGATGTAGACGTGGCTGAAGCGGTTGGACAGCAGGGATGTAACAGCTGATGGGTCTGTTAGGTCTGCTTTGAGGGATGTGACCTGGGTTTCTGCGCCTTTGGGGATGGGGGGTGTCATGATGTCGGTTAGGGTGAAGTGAGCGGTGGGCATGTCTTTGAGGAGAGATGTGATGAGTTCCTGGCCGATGAAGCCACCGGCTCCGGTTATGAGAACATGGTCTTTTGTTTGAGTCATGATTGGTATCTTTGCAAGTAGATATTAGATATGTTTGACAATTTGCTGGAGTGTTCCCAAATACTGTCAGTGAAAGTGGATATAATATCTTGATCTCAAACAAGCCACTCTTTTAACAACTTTCTGACATTTGTAATATTCTTGCATCGTCGCTCTACATCCACCATCTACACAGATCCCAGTTGCCTCAGTGGCGAGCACTGAATAGCTGTTCCGCTTAGTGCTTTTGTGGAGTGCGGTCAGAAATCCTATTGGTTGAGTGGACACCCGCGGATCTTGCACCATATCTTGGCCGGAAACCAGACCGAGCCATCGCTGAGACATCGGATGCAGAATTACAGCCAATCCAGTAGATGTGTCAGAGATGAGAGAAGACCAGAAATTGGTTTCTGTTTTCCCAGGGTAAGTAAATCGAGAAATTGCTTTAATGGCTGTTTCATACACTCGTCCATATACTTGGTTCATGCAAATGGGACTGGACATCTAAGGTAGTTGGCAAAGCGTAATATGTTTAATAGTGATATATAGAGATGCGGTACAGGCCTTACATAGTGCGATTAGAGTATTGAGAGATGAGGCTCGTGGATTTTATCTATCTCGAGGGATGATATCTTCTCAGTCGCCTTGACGAGAGCATTGAGGAGTTTGTAAAGCCGGCACCTAAGGTTGTCTACAAATACGATCTAGGCACGGGTTATGCAAGTGTTTATTTAAGTCAAGTCTATATCTCATTTAGAGCTAACCCATGCCTCAACATCATCAATCCTCACATACTTAATATGCTGCCGATGCCAAGTATACGCCACATGCGCAACATCCCTATCCCCATCCTTCTCAATATAAATACTCGGATAACTCAACTCCCTATTCTCCTGCCCCGAAGAACTATTCGTCCCACAAAACCCATCTCCATCCTCAAGCACACGCTCTCTCCACGCCAGCCCCTCATCCTCCGAAACTCCAAGCGTCAACGTCTTTCTGGGCGTTCCCCAAATGGCATCCTTTCCTGTTTTTGTGACCTGATTAGGTCGCTTATCATCCTCAGGCGTGATGTCATCATATAAGCCTTGTCGTTTGAGGGTATCGGCTGAGGCGTTTGATCTGTTGAAGACGATGGCGATGTGGCCTGATGATAAGCGGGCGGCGCAGATGCCGCTGTTGGGGTTTGGGAGGGTTGTTGCTTTTGGTGTTTCCCAGTCGATGCCGTTGTTGGATGTTGAGCGGTAGACGTTGTCTGCCCAGCGGCTGCGGTAGAATGCGACCCAGGTTGTAGAACCGGATGCTGGGGGGATGATGTTCATGTGGACAGATCCAACGCTATCTGGTGCTTGCTTCTCTTTCCATGATGCACCATTATCATCTGAGTAGAGAACGCCAGAGATGTCGTCGCTGCCAATCCACCTATGACCAGGTTCGGTGCGACAGTAGAATACTGGCAAGATCCATGTTCCGTCGCTGTTGATGACGATGGGCTGTCTGATGAAGATGCCAGTCACATCGGGGAGTAAGCGACTAGCCTCAGACCAAGTACGACCCTGATCAGAGGATGTACGCTTCAGGATATAAGCGCCGTCCTGATTACCCGTATCTTGCGAAGTATGAAGCAACCAGATCTCTCCATTGTGAGGTGCTCTGAACAAGACGGGATTTTGACAACTCCTGTTCTCATCAAACGAGATCTTTTGCGGTGTAGTCCAAGACAATGATCCCGTTTCTAATCGAGACAGCCAAATACTGATATCAGGCAGTCCTTCTTGTGAACCACCAAACCATGTACACAGCACAGTCTTGTCGGGAAGTTGCAACAAATTCGAAGCGTGCGACTGAACTGTCGCTGAAGGAACAGGGATAGTTTGAAGATTTGGTGCCATGATTGCTTGCGGTATTGACTTGATTGCGATGCTGCGATGAGTCTTGGTGGTTTAAAACATCACATCTTCCACGTGACTTCCCCACGATCTCAGCGGATATTAGCCTGAACATAAATCCACTGTGCATGACTCGCTGGCCAATTGGAAGGATGGCCGATTAAATGGTGTTGGGCGTGAGGGGTTGATGATCACAGTGGAATAATGCGGGGAAGGATATGTTCGGTGATATCAGCGTTGGTCAGATCGACGTGAAGAGGAGTGTCATAAAAGCGGCATTTAAAAAGAGATAAAAATAACACAAGATCTGTCCAGTAGTAACATCATCATCTCTACCAATACTACAAGTGCCTTCAAGATGGAATACGTCAGGTAAGCATCTCCAGCACCACTCAAATCCCGTACTAACAGCCTAGACTCGGCAACACAGGTCTTAAGATCTCAAAGGTCATCCTCGGCTGCATGACCTTTGGCTCAAGCTCATGGCAAGGCTCACCCTGGGTCCTTGACGAGGAAGATGGCCTTAAACTTCTCAAAGCTGCTTATGACCAAGGCATTAATACCTGGGATACAGCTGATACGTACTCCAATGGCGAGTCAGAAGTCATCATTGGCAAGGCCTTGAAGAAGTTCAACATTCCTCGCCAAAAGGTTGTTATTCTATCAAAGATCTTTAACCCTGTTATGGATGATGGTACAAGACCTGCTAGTATCAACGACGGCCCGCTTGTGAATCAGATGGGTTTGAGTAGGAAGCATGTTTTCCATGCTGTTGATAAGTGTCTTGAACGTCTTGGAACCGATTACATTGGTAAGCTTGTCTAACCCAGTATAACAAGCGACATACTGACTGTACAGATGTCCTTCAAATCCACCGTCTGGACCGTGAAACACCCCCCGAAGAGATCATGCGCGCTCTTCACGACGTCGTCCAATCCGGCAAAGTCCGCTACATCGGCGCCTCATCAATGTACACCTGGGAATTCGCCCGTCTCCAATACATCGCCCAATCCAAAGGCTGGACACCCTTCATCTCCATGCAGCCGTTCTACAACCTCCTCTACCGCGAAGAGGAACGCGAAATGCTTCCCTTTTGCGAAGCCACAGGCGTGGGCGTCATTCCCTGGAGTCCCATCGCGCGCGGTCTTCTAGCTAAACCTCTGTCGAGTAAGAATGATGAGGCGAGTCAGTCGATTAGGAGTCAGAGTGATAAGAAGACGGAGACGTGGTTTGCGGATGCGAATTTGGAGATTGTGAATAGGGTTGAGAAGGTTGCGAATGATAAGGGGATTAGTATGGCGCTTGTAGCTACGGCGTGGGTGCTGCAGAAGGGGTGTTATCCGATTTTGGGGTTGAACTCTGAGAAGAGAATTAAGGAGTCGGTGGAAGCATTGAACGTCAAGTTTACGAAGGAGGAGTTGGAGTATTTGGAGAGCGAGTATCGGCCAAGAAACATTCAGGGCATGTAAGCTTCTGACTAGGCACTGTAGAGAAATCGGGGATAAATACATAGATGAATACCATGTTCAATTTAGACACTCTTATGTTCCTTCGGTATTTGGAAAGATGGCCATTGACTGCATATATCCATCGACATCGAGGAACGACGGATCAAAGCCAAAGATAGGTGATAGCCCAAAGGTCGTGTCCCAAGTAGGCATCGTGCTCCCATCAATCCCGGTAAACATATCAGGGTTAGTACTGTAAACATCTTCAAGACCCTGGTTACCCTCATTCCCGGGCATCATCGACGAAATAGCATTCTGTACTTTATCCTGCACCCCATGCGAAGTCAAAAGACTAGTCACAGTCTCCAAACCTCTAATCATCAAATTCGCCAAATGCCACTTGCCCATAGACAACGATCTGAAATGGCTGATCAGTCGAGTAATCTGATCCAGCGCTTGATCTCGTCTAAACAGGTTATCGCCGTATTTATGTGAGACTTTGGCGAGGAACATGGCTGCGAATGCTGTCATGGAGAGCAGATAAGATGGGATCCCGACAATGCTGGTGGAGAGATCAGGGTCGGTGAGGAGGATGTCGATGATGGCTGATGCGGAAGTCACTGCCATTGAGGCTGTGTCGAGGAAGTGGCTGGGTATTTGGTTGGATTGGCCGCGGAAAACGTGGGAGTAGAGGTATAGTTGGGCGAGATGGAAGTGGAAGAGAGCGCCTTTTCGTGGGAATGCTCCAATATTGGGATGGCCCTCTGAAACAGGTTAGCAATGTTTAAACGTAAAATTGTCATACATACCTGGGAGCCTGTCGGTCCATTTCGTGATCCACTGGTCAAGTTGTCGATGATAGTGTCCTATCTGACTCAGATACAATCGCGGAATCTCTTCTCCCTTGTCAGGCCCGAACAGTCGTCGTATGTTCCGCAAGATACCCATCAGCTCAACCTGACTCATAAGTCTTTCATCCTGGTCTGTAGCCAGCGGACAGTTCAGAATGCCCTCCCAGTCTTGCGTAAGCCAGTCATCCTGAATAATCGCCGGTCTGTCGTATAGAATAGCGAGATGTTGATCGCAGATGTAGAGAATAGACCAGATACGCGCAGAGTCCATGGCTTCTTCGGATTGATCCTTGATGGCTAGACTATAACTGTTGTGGATATTGCATTCGGCAGCTCGTCTGATCGCATGACCTGATAACGTCCAGGACAAGTCACTAAGCCAATATGAAGCGATGCTTAGAGCTCGGAAGTAGTCCCTATCACCTTGTCGTTGGAGCATCGACTTTTCGGTCAATCGCCGAAGTTCGGAATTGCAAATGCCGTATACTTTATCAGCTGCTGGATCATGAAGCGCTGCGATGGTGAGTGTAGCCGCACATAGGATCGATGACTTGCGACGAAGCTGCTCAAGGGTTTTATAGGGACATCCGATGGAGTAGATGAACCCGTCCAAACGATCTCGATAAACGACAAACAGTCGCTCAGCATCAGCCAATGAGATCTGTCCCTGAGAAATGAAATCATTAATGGCTTGACTTCGATTCTCATTTCCATTTCCAGGCGATCGAAGCGCCCTCATTCTGGTCAGGGTGTATAGAGAATGAATAGGCGCGTGAGGCAGTCTATCGTCTTCGGGCGTGAGTTTCGGTGAGTTATCGCATGATGGACCATAGTTGTCCTCCAGTTGAAGTGCCGTTGTCTCTTGGGGTACGGGCACTGATGAATCTTTCCGTTTGTTCATTCGTGATGTTTGTAATGGCGGCAAATCTGGTAAGCCCATTATACCTCTCATCTCCTTGACTGCTGTATACACCTGGTCGAGATCTGAGAGCATTGCCTCTGATAACCTGAAATACGTCAGCTGGGTCTCACCAAAAATGACCCATGGCATACTCTGTTTTCTCATCAATAATCGTTTGGAGATTCTTGCTCACGGCGCAGTTGCTAAGTTTCTTCTCTTTACACCGTCGACACGGCGGTCCAGCATCATCCATGAAGCATTTGATCTAAGCAATTCAGTCACCTGATTTCGACTGTGGGTTGTGTTTTTGGTACCTTGTGCTTACGACATGTTGTGCAAGCCCTGATATGTCTCGAGATATGAGCGACGGGATGCTCCGAATTCGAACTTATCGCCACTCGTTTCGGCGGAGGCTATCACTGATCAGCGCCCCTGCACCCTGCAGATCAACTACACGCAAACATACCACACTCCCGTCGTACTCTTGCGTCGCAGTACTTCCGTTTCGCTTCGGCATCGTCACTCGATATATCCTTTCTGAGAGTGATTCATGACTCAAAACACGTCAAAGTTGCGCAGGCTCAGAAACGCGGGGGGAGTTAGTCAGCCAGAATTTACTGCTTTGACTAGAGCGAATACAGTAGCGATCTGTCGCTGGGGAAATGCGGAGGTGCACGGAGGCATCGTTAGTCCGAGTGCCTCCGCATACTGGATACAGATGATTTTATTCATTGTGGATCAGGAGTCATAAGCAGATCTTGGCTTTGTGCAGTTGTCATAAGTGAAATATGCTCTTGTGCATGGTATCTGTGCATACTACATAAAGTGGATTGTGAAAGTCATTATGCAGTGTATAACATAGTCGCGGTTCTACCAGAATGAATAAACATATTCTATAAGCATTTATCTTACTGTGAGCAAGCGTGCACGGCAGAGTTATCTCAGAGGCATAGGATACTCTTGGCCAGCAGAATGATCAAGAAATCGATATTCTTTTGACGCCTGAATGCTTGTTGTTGACCTTTCAATGCTTCTTCAATCTTTCTGATCGGTGCAGGTCCAATTTGATCGGTCCCGTAGCCAATGGGGGCGAAGACCGATAGACACGGACCAGGTCGCGGATGTCGGATAAGAACCTGGTGAACTGTCGGCTACCCTAAACTCCATCGGAAGACAGCGATTATTTATCTCAATTGACGTCTACACCAATATCACTGCTCCCCTAGATACGCACAATCATTAGACTTATTCATCATGGCGCAAACAGGCACACTCATCTTATCTGAGGCCCTCTCATCCTTGCCTCCAGTCCCATCCTCGCATCAACAACTCCGTACTCAAACACGCATCACCATTCGCGACCCCTCCTCACCAGCTCCAGTGCTAGTTATCCTCGACGATGACCCAACAGGAACACAAACATGCCACGACATCACCATCTTAACAGTCTGGGATGTTCAAAACCTAGTCTCAGCATTCAAGCAAGTCGGAACAGGCAATGGCTTCTTCATCCTCACCAATTCACGCGCCCTTCATCCCCCGCAGGCACGTGATCTCATGATCGAGATCTGCACCAATCTCAAGACAGCTTCTCAGGAGACGAACCTTCCGTATGAGATTGTGCTGCGCGGTGATTCTATTTTGCGAGGACACTTTCCTCTTGAGCCTGAGGCGGTGGAGCATGTGAATGACGCGTTTGACGCGTGGATTTTGTGCCCGTTCTTCCTACAGGGCGGGAGATACACCATTAACGATATTCACTACGTTCATGAGGGTGATAAGCTCATCCCTGCCGCGGAAACGCCCTTTGCAAAGGACGCGACATTTGGATATAAGAGTTCTAACCTTCGGGACTACGCCGTTGAGAAATCGAAGGGCGAGATTCCGCATGACAATATTGACTCCGTCGATCTGGAGACTATTCGTGTCGGTGGTCCGGAAGCAGTTCTGAAGAAGATCATGCAGCTCCCAAAGCGAAGCGACACGCCTGTTGTGCTGGTAATCAACGCGGCAGCAGACGAGGACATCGATGTTGTCGTTACTGCTCTTCTACAGGCGTCGCAGCAAGGAAAGAAGTTTCTGTACCGAACAGGAGCTGCTTTTGTCTCAGCACGTCTGGGCATCTCATCTATTCCGCCTCTCTCAGCTAGCCAACTCGGGTTATCCAAAAGCGTTGGTGGTCTCATCATTGCCGGTTCATACGTGCCAAAAACCACCGCGCAACTGGACTCTCTGGTTCAGAAGTCTGGAGATAATTTGACCACCATCACGCTCAACGTAAAAGCACTTCTCAAATCCGACGAGGCAGCGAAAGAAGATGTCGCAAAAGCAATTGAGCTTGCGTCACAACATATCAAGAAAGGACAAGACGTTCTAGTCATGACAAGCCGGGAGCTCATTGTCGGCAAAGACGAAGTAGAGAGTCTAGATATTGGCTCAAAAATTGCACTGGCTTTGGTGTCGTTCCTGCAGGGACTAGAGCAGAAGCCTCGCTACATCATCGCCAAGGGCGGAATTACGTCGTCGGACATGGCGACGAAGGGATTGAGGATGAGGCGGGCTCTTATCGTTGGACAGGCTGCACCTGGAGTTCCGATGTGGCGATGCGATGAGCCGGAGTCCAAGTGGCCGGGGTTGAACTATGTTGTTTTTCCGGGGAATGTTGGGCATAATGATAATTTGTTTGAGGTTGTGAGGCAGTGGAGGGAGTTTGAGTAGTGCATCTATCACCAATTAAGCCTGGCATGAATCAAGAATGCCATTGAAGCATATTTGTTTTATATCGCATGACTTGTTCTATCTTGGCGGTGCTCTCACTATAGCTGCTTCATCCCCTTCGCCCTGAGAAGAACTATCATCCCTCGTTGTAGCAGTCGTGAATGTTTTGTGTACATATATCCCTCCGTCAACATGGCGACTGCGATGAAGGTCATCGAGAGGGATGCAATCGGAAACCACAATAGCCCGAGGTGTCATCGCTGAACCGTGACCCCGCCGACGTTGAGAACTTCGGCTGTCGTAATTAGCTGGATCTGTTCGACCACTCCTCGATGTCGCGTACTTCTTGATGCCTCGTGTCAGCAAGCCTTTGAGTGCTGGAAGTGAACCGACGACAAGGGCCGTCGCTGTTTCCACGGCACCCCAGATAGCCAAACCCACGAGATCGACCTTCTTTCCAACGATGACCTGTGACATGCGCACAATAGCCACGCAGATGATGATGATACCCAGAGAGAAGGCAACGCCAAGTCCGACTTTCTTCTTCCTGTCCAGTTGTAGAGAGGGTAGTATAGCGATCGGCAGCGCTATGATCATGAGGTCGGTCGCGACGTCGACGGTCGTTGAGAAGATGACGTTGAAGGACTGGTTCCATTGTTCTCGTGGGGAATCACAGCTGCCTACGAGCAGTCAGTAGCTGACCAGATACTGAGAGTGAAATGGTTGACTTACCATGGAAGTAGTTGGAAGGAGGAGTGCAGGTAAGGACACTGCAGATGATACACACAATGAGTGCTGAGGCTGCAAACACCGAGACACCGTACCAGCACCGAAGGATGACAGGAAACGGCTGTACAAGTCTATAAAATAGCGCCAGAAAGCTCGCCTTGACAGACCACAAGATGATCCAGAACAGCTTGATGATCGGAAATTGCCATCGCGTGAGTTGACTCCGTTGGAACTCAAGCTCACTCGGATCGTAGGCGATGCGACCGGCCTGGAGGTAAGTCATATACCACAGCGGACCCATCTGCTCCGTCTGCAGTATGGCCATGGTGAGAGTACACAACCACGCCCAGGTAATCCAATAATCATCCGCAAGAAAGCGTCTGTTCTGATGCCATCGTACAAAAAGCCGAAGCGATACAAAGAGCGTAGCGATAGTAAAGCATATCCAGACGATTATGACGAGTCCTTGGCGATTTACAGAGCGAGCAGCACCTGTGAGGGGAGCGTTTGGGTCTGGCGGTGGAGGAGTTGACATGGTGATGGCTTGGGGTGGCTTGCATGAGACATTCTGGGATGCATACTGATATAGGGGAGAGGAGTATCCTGCGTGGCGGCGATAAATGTGTTGGTTTAGGAGTGATTGGATCGGATGCGACAAACTCGAGGACAAAGGAGAGGCATGGGTTTGGGCAATCAAGGTAGCGCCACAGCCGCATCACGGCGCAGGTGAAACAAAAAGTAATTTGACCAAAAGGGAGATCTTTACTCGTTGTTGATAGTGATGCGAATCACAAATCGGATTCTACAGCTCACGGTGCAGTGTGATAGAAGTGCTTGATGGTCGAGTTGGGGAATATCTATGGTCAATCGCAGGACGCAGAGTGGGACATCAAGTATTTTTTTCTTCTTCTACAAGCAATTGGCTCCAAGCAAGTCTAAATAGCACGCAACTCAATTGCGAACTGGCCATCACAAGCTTGAAAGGTGAGGAGCATTTGCAGAGCAGGGAACAGGGTACAACAGCATCAGCCCTTCAATTCTGTCATTTGCCGTTCAAACGCGAGAAAAGAGACAACAACAGTTTGCCCCAATTGATTGATCCAACCAGCCATTTCCACTTTAGCCACTCGGTGAGATAGATCCAGGCACTCAAATAATTGCTTTTTCATCGACCCATTTCCGCTTACGTAGCATTGAGGGATTCTCAGCCGCAGATGTAGTTGGTTCCAGGTACGACAAACAGTGCAGATCTTGCCCGCTTGCGATAAGCCCTACCAACGGTTGGAGTGGCAAACAATTACATGTAAGAAAATGCAGGATCATCTTTTGCTGGTTTAGATGAGTGATTGCATTAATTGAAACGCGGAGTGGAGATGAGATGACGGTTAGTTCCGCTGTTGATTTCCTATAACGGACTTTGGCCCTGGTTGGGATGGATCTTGGCGGAGGAAGCGAGGGGATGTCTCATGCTTAAATGGTAGGGCGACGCAATGACCAGTAGCTTAGATTGGAGATATTGGACAGAGAGGTCCATATTAAAATCAGATAAAATGTATCTGTTGATACAGACAAGGGCAGTGACTCTCGTGCCAGCATGATCCTTAATAGAGTCAAGTTTGGGGGCGATCTGTTTGCTTCGGACTCTTGGTCTGACAAAAGCCCAATAAATTCAGATTTACATGGATGATGTCCAGTATATGATAACTCACAAACCACTCAGCATTACAGAGTCCTGATTCGCAGACAAAAAGCCGTTACATCTGATCTGGAGCCTCCCAACGTTGCCGCATACCTGCATATCAGGGGTTCCCAGTGCCTGCATGAAGTTTGCATCCCACCAACAATCATTCCAGACTCCCAATACCTGCCCCCAAACTCTCTAGTTTCGTCAGAAAGTGAGCAAACAGAGACGCCACTAACATCATGACAAGACTGTGAAATTCCCAGAGCAGCCTTTCCTTTCCCTTCCGTAGGGTTGCACAACCTCGGACTCCGCTGCGGCGAAATGACGCATTACAAAAAAAAACAATGTTCCGCATAGATTAAAACTTGACGAGAGCCACTTGGCTGCATCCCCCCTCTGCACCTCACCTCACCTTTCTTTTTCCTACGGCCCAAAGCTCAGCTCAGCATGTATCCCGGGTCTCTTTTTCCTCTCCTCGCGGTACTTGCCGTTGGAACCTTCTCCGCAGAAGCGATTGGTTCAGCACCGAGATGCAAATGCGTAAGTATACGATAATCATCTATCAGATTTGACGTTACTAACGGATAAAGATTCCCGGCCAATCCTGCTGGCCTTCGACTGCAGAATGGAGAGCGTTTGACAAGAAGATTGGCGGAAGTCTTATCAAGACTGAACCAATCGCACAGTCATGCTACCCTGGTCCAGAGAAGGATCTGAAGCAGTGCGCGTATGTGAACAAAATGTGGTCGGATCAGGATTTCCAGTCGTCGAATCCTATCGGGAGACCTTATCCGTACAACATCACCTGCGCGCCTGTGGACTACGCTGCAGGTCAACAGCCTACGACCTGCAGTCTGGGGTCTTTACCTGTTTACGCTGTCAATGCTACTACACTATCTCAAATACGAAGTACCATTTCGTATGCGCGCGAGAAGAATATCAGGCTCGTTGTTACCGGAACAGGTCATGATCTTCTTGGTCGCTCCGATGGATTTGGTGGTCTTGAGCTGTGGCTTCATCAGTTCAAGAGCGGGACTGAATTTCAGAAGACTTACAAATCTGAGAATCAGTGTAAAAAGTCAAGCTGGAAGGGCAGTGCTATCAAGATTGATGGTAATTACCAATGGCGCGAGGTGTACAAGGTAGCTGAGGCGAACAATGTCATCGCAGTTGGTGGAGGTTCTATCACGCCTGGAGCCATCGGTGGGTGGGCTTCTGGCGGTGGCCATGGACCTGCCACGAGGAATTACGGTCTTGGTGCAGATCAGATTCTTGAGGCAGAAGTGATGCTGGCTGATGGACGAGTCGTCATCGCTAATCACTGTGAGAACACAGATCTTTTCCGTTCTATGCGTGGCGGAGGGCCAGGCTATGGTATCACTCTGAGCAGCACCATCAAAGCTCATCCGAACGTCAAGACTGTCACAGCTCATCATCTTCAGATCGCACCGCTGGAGAAGACAGAGAAGAATGCAGATCTTCTGGACGCTGTGACTGTTCTTCTACAGTCGCTTCCTGATCTCAACGACGCTGGCTTTGCTGGCTACGGTTACTGGTTTCGAAACTTTCCCACTGTCTTTGTTGGCAACGCTACCTCTGGATATTCACACGGTGTTTGGACAATTGGTAAGGGCCGTGAAGAAGCTGAGGCGGCTTGGGCTCCGGTGCGAAAGGCCTTGGCGAAGTATGAAGGCAAGCTCTACATCAACGAGAGCTGGGCCACGTACGATGACTACTGGTCATTCTACCACACTGAGTCAGGGTTGTACGACCCAACTGGCGACACCTCTGTCTTGACTTCGCGATTGATCGACCGTCAGAGCGTGAAGAGCTTCGACAAAGTCCGAGATGCCGTCGAAGTCATGAGCGGCAAACCCGATGAATTCGGCACAAGCGTTATTCTTCTCACATCCGGAGGCCAAGTCTTCAAAGACGCTTCCGACAAGACAAGCGGTCTACACCCAGCCTGGCGAAAGTCACACTACGTTCTCATCTCAGGCACGGGTATTCCTCGAACCGGCAACACTGCTGAGCGCAAAGCAGCGAATGACGACGTGACGTTTGTCAAGGGTGCTGCGGCGAAGAAGTTGGCTCCTAAGACTGGTGGGTACATGAATGAGGGTGATCGGAATGACCCTGATTGGAAGAATTCGTTCTATGGGAGTTTGTATGGTGAGCATCTCAAGACGAAGAGGAAGTATGATCCTTCTCATGTTTTTTACTGTCCTACTTGTGTTGGGTCTGAGGAGTGGGTTGAGAGGCCAGACGGGCCTTTATGTAGAGTTGCGTAAGTGCTATGAGTATCTATAGCCTATCCAACGATGCTTCTAAGTCGTGTTTCTGGCGGATCCCAGACAATATCCTGGATGCTAAGCCTTTGCCGCGCCGGGACCTGGATGCTACGAAGTTCCGATCTGATCTCCATATTCTCTTCATTCTTGTACAGCAGCATCGGCATCATCGGGCGGAATTCCGCTAATGTGAACATAGCATGATGTCCTTCAGTCCTTGGGTTCAAAGCGTCCATTGCTCGCGTGCTGACAGCTTCATACAATATCTTTGCATCATCGACTGTTCCGGCGTGGAATAACCCAACTCCCAAGCTGGCTATTTTTAGAGGATCGCCATCGCCGTGGGGAGTAAATGGGTTGCCAACGTTGTTGACTGACAAGCAGGCGTTGATTCCAAAATCTTTGATTAGCTTTGGTACCATGATAGTACCGCATAGTCGACTGAGCGGTTCGCTCTGTTCCGGACGATCCGAACCGTGTCTGCCCATCATGTAGAGGTCGCTGGTTGGCAGTCCGACGAAATGAACGGGCAGTTTTGTCTCTCTCAGCTTCTGCGACAGTTTGACGAGATCATCATGCGAAGCACGAGTAAGTCTTGTAGCATGCCCAAAAACAACAGTTGGAGCACCGGGATGTGTAGGCCACTTCAGACGCTTGAGCTCTTCAATGACGTGATCAAAAACAGACATATGGGTTCCATCGCCCTCCAAATTGAACTCAATGTGAAAGTCGAGATGTTTCCCATGTTTCAATGCGGTCTCAATAGCCCACCGAATATTCTGATTCTGCGCTTCAGGATCAGATTCCACATATGGAGTACTCCCAATGACCTCGATATCCGAACCGAAACGTTCAAGCGCCTTCTCCAACATTGCTCGGTTTGCCTCTCCCTTCTCCGTCGAGAATATAGGATCCTGTGCAAAAGCGCAAATTTGTACTTCCAGAAAGTCTTCGAATTCCTTCTTCAACCGCAGTCCGACCTCCAAAGTCTTCAGCTCAGTGACGGAGTCAACCTCAACAAAGGCTCTCATGAATGTAACACCTTGTTTGTAACTTGTCGCTATAAGCTGAGAGCCTCGTATGTACAAGTCCTCCTCGGTGTAGCGTTTCTTCGCTTCAGCTGTATTGGCCAAGGCTTCTTGAAACCCTCCTGTTTTGGGAGCCAGATCAGAGTAATCTGGGTGGTTTGAGGATTTTGGGTGGTTGCAGGTAAGAAGATATGGTTTGTCAAGATGGATATGAGGATGGCAGAGTGAAGGAAGCATTACGCTAGGTAATGTCTTGCCAGCGGCTGGTTTCATGGAGGTCACTACTCCTTCGTCTACTCGGATGTCCCATTGCGTTGAGGTGTCTTGGAACGGAAGAATAATGTTTTTGAGGTCCATGTTGAGGTATTAAAATCCTTTAAGTTGCAGGCTTGAGAGAATAAACTCGTGATGATCGTGAATCCATTCACAGTGTCATTGATTCCCCTCATCTCGAATGTGGACCAATCATGATCAAGTCTGGATGGATATTGGTCAGGGTGAATAATTATCCGGCCTTCACCTGTGACTTACTTTCAAGATCCTTTGTTGACTGGGTAAGTATCTCATTGAATTGACATTACCAACTGAATCCAATTGCCGAAATGCTTTCAACTCATTTTCTTATTTGCGCGGATAAACTCAACGTCACAACCAAGTTTATCCTCTAAACGATCTCCAATTCTGGGGAATCTGGGCTGATCCTCCGCATAAACGATGACAATCTTGACTCAAAGGGGTATCTTTCGGTACTCCACCATCAAGAAGTCCAATCTCTCCTCCACAAACTCCAATTCAAGATCGGCCCGTTTCGAGATCATCACGAGTTGCTACATATTGGGCTTCTCGTAATTTCCATCTGACCTTGATGATATGTTTTTGAAGGTTTATAAAAAGATGTCGGATCCCGCGGATAAAACCCCTCGGTTTTGACTTTCGTTTAAAATACTTTTGCTAGGGTCAAGATGGTGCTCGTTACATTGAAGGGCATTACGACGACGGCAGTGCTGTTCTGTCAGGCCATCTCGGCTCTCGCGGAGACTTCAGATCGTGCGTCTTTATTCTCAAAATCATCTTCATCTTCATATTGAACAATATTAACATGTCTGCAGCAATTCGAGTCGACGGCACGTCCTTCGCCCTCAACGGCGATAACGTCTCATACCGCTTCCACGTCGACAACACCACCGGCGACCTTATCAACGACCACTACGGCGGTCCCGTCGCCGAAGATGGCATCACCGCTGAAATCGGCCCCATCCAAGGCTGGGTCAATTTGATCGGCCGCGTGCGCCGCGAATTCCCCGATCATGGAAGAGGAGATTTCCGCGTCCCAGCGTTTCAGCTCCAACAAGCCAGCGGCACGACCGTCACTGACTTTCGGTACAAGTCTCACGAAGTTGTGCAGGGAAAGCCTGGATTGCCTGGTCTTCCGTCGACGTTTGGCGAGGCTGTTGAGGTGTCGACTTTGGTGGTGAGCTTGTATGACAATTATAGCTCTATTGCTGTTGATCTGTCGTATTCGATCTTTCCGAAATATGATGCTGTTGTGAGGAGTGTGAATATTACGAATCGGGGGAATGCGACGGTGGATTTGAGAAAGGTTGCGAGTTGGAGTGTTGATTTGCAGCAGGATGATCTGGATCTTATTGAGATTAGGGGTGATTGGGCTCGCGAGGGCATGCGCGTGCGCCGAAAGGTAGACTTTGGAACCCAAGGGTAAGCATTACCTCTGTGAACATACGATATCAGTCATTAACAGCATCGCAGGTTTCAGAGCTCTACTGGCTATTCCTCTCATCTGCACAACCCGTTCCTCGCTCTCGTTTCATCAACGACTACAGAAACTCAAGGCGAAGCTTGGGGCTTTTCGCTAGTGTACACCGGCTCCTTCGCCGTCGACGTTGAGAAGAGCTCCCAAGGACTCACCCGCGCCATTCTCGGTCTCAATCCTCTAGACTTCTCATGGCCCCTGAAACCCGGTCAAACCTTCACCACTCCCGAGGTCGTCTCCGTATTCTCAAACAAAGGTGTCGGTGGCATGTCCAGACAATTCCACCGCCTGTACAGGAAGCATTTGATGAAGAGCAAATACGCTGAAGAGACGCGTCCTGTCCTTCTCAACAGCTGGGAGGGCTTGGGTTTCGAGATTAACGAAACCGCCATTGAAAAGATCGCCAAACAATCTGCTGAACTGGGTATCAAACTGTTCGTCATGGACGATGGCTGGTTCGGTAACAAGTATCCGCGAGTCAACGATTCCGCTGGTCTAGGCGACTGGCAGCCTAACAAGGAACGCTTCCCTGACGGACTGACACCTCTGGTTGAGAACGTCACCGACCTAAGAATTGCTAATGCTTCCGCTGATCTCAAGTTCGGTATCTGGTTCGAGCCCGAAATGGTGAATCCCAAATCAGATTTGTACGACAAACACCCCAACTGGGCGATCCACGCAGGTTCATATCCCCGAACCGAGACGCGCAACCAATTAGTTCTCAACGTAGCTCTACCCGAGGTCCAAGAGTTCATCATCGACTCCGTCTCCAAAGTTCTCCGCGAGTCACCAATTTCCTACGTCAAGTGGGATAACAACCGTGGAATCCACGAGACACCTGACCCTACCCTCAACTATAAGTATATGCTGGGTCTTTATCACGTCTTTGAGACTTTGACGAGTCGTTTCCCTGATGTTCTGTGGGAAGGCTGTGCTTCAGGTGGTGGGCGGTTTGACCCCGGTGTTCTTCATTGGTTCCCTCAGATTTGGACGTCGGATGACACAGATGCAGTGGAGCGTATCAAGATCCAATTCGGCACGTCACTTGCTTATCCTCCATCTGCCATGGGAGCTCATCTGTCGCATGTGCCTAATGGCAACACCCAGAGAATCACCTCTGTCAAGTTCAGAGCCCACGTTGCCATGATGGGCGGTTCCTTTGGCGTCGAACTTGACCCTAGCGATCTCGAGCCCGAGGAGAAAGAACAGATTCCTGCCCTTATTGGGCTTTCTGAAAAGATCAACCCTATCATTATTAATGGAGACTTTTACAGACTTGCCCTACCTGAGGAAACAAACTATCCGGGGGCACAGTTCATTTCCGAGGATGGCAAGAAAGTCGTGCTATTTGCATTCCAGACAAGGGCGACTATCAACAATTCCTGGCCTTGGTTCAGACTTCAAGGCTTGGATGCGAGTGCCAAGTACAGAGTTGATAATAACCAGACGCTTTCTGGTTCAACGCTGATGAACCTTGGTATTCAGTTGAGGTTCGAGGGAGATTATGATAGCCAAGTCTTGATGATTGAGAAGCAGTAGTTTGGGTAGCTAGGCTATGAGCAACATACTGTAAATAAAGCTCGAAATAAATGGCTCGCTCGGTAATCTCAATATCGTCACATAACATAATAACTCGAACTGTCCATCCAACACGCAAAAGCACAAAAGCAAGCCTCCACCAAGATAATTCCCCGCTTCACTGGCATCCTTCCATCTTCACTCTCTCGTAAATTCTCGGGCAGCCAAAAGGTTGCTTCACTACTCCGTATAAGCTTAGCAGATCAAATCTGTGGCAGCTGTGCATTAATGAGCTTCTGCAGTTGACGCAGAGTATCGACACTCATCGTGACGTTGACCATCTCAGAACCTTCGATGCCATTGGAAGTGGCCACGTCAGGGTTAGGATAGTACCAGCACGCGATAGCGATAATAGCATATATGACCTGGTAATGTCAGTCACTGAGCCCCTTATAAGTTGATCTTGACTTGACTTACCACGAGGAGTGCACCCTCAAGCCAGTTGGACTCGCCATCACGAAGGAAGTTTCCAACCACCAAAATGGACAGAACAAGGAGGACTATCATGAAGATCTCAAAGTTCAAGTCCATGGGCTTTCCGATGGCCCAACCGACGAGAACGACGAGGGGACCGTTGAATAGGGCTGTCTGGATAGATGGTCCGAGGCAGTGATACAGGGCAACGTTGATAACGCCATCTGAGAAATTAGTTAGTTTATGAACTCACGAATGAAGAATTGTACTCACCATAAGCTTCATCAATGGCTGTCAGATGCTCAGCAGCCTTCTCAACAAAAGGTAATAGAATAAGACCCAAGAACTGATCAGGCACTCCACTCTCAACAACATGCTCAATCTTCTCAACGAGGAAGATGAGAAGAGCAGTCACAAAAGCAAGAGCAATCAATATAGCAATAATAGCCTCAGTCATGGTAAACTTGGGCTTCTCCATGTCAGCCTCGCGATCAGCATCCCGATGCTCATCCATCTCAATAACCTCATCGAAGATACTATGCTGGCTGCTAGCCTGGTACCAGATGTAGAAGAAAAACGCGATGATCAGTGCAATAGACGTAGCTTGACTAATGCGCAGAACATCGTCTTGGAGTTTACCCTCTGTGAACTTCTCGTGCAGAATTCGGAAGCCGGGGAAGTCAGGTACGACTTCGGCTTTGAGGGCGGAGTAGAAGGCGCTGGGAATGAGGAGACCGAATGCTGCGACGAGTAGGAGTCCGGTGCCGACTTCTGAGACAATGGCGTGGAACTTTTGACTGGCTTGCTTGAGGCCACCGACGAAAAAGCAGAGGCCGAGACAGAGAAGGAGGTTGGTCAGGATACTACCGAGGATCGCAGCTTGGATGATAGGAATGAGATTGCCTTCGTCGCCGTTATCTTCAGGAGCGTTGACCTCATGCTTCGATAGCAGTACAATAAAGAGAATAATCTCAATGATAGATCCAAACGTCGTCTCGATGAGAATACCCGCTACCTTGGGCAACTTCCGCGCAAACTCCTGCCCAGCGAAGCCAAGCAGATTGGCAGTTGGGATGACAGCGATATACGCGGTAGCAAACTTCCAGAGATGCAGGCCAGGGAAGAACTGAAGGATGATGGCGATGGGGACGAACGGCCAGAGGATGTTTACCCATTTCGACGCGGTGCAGGAGCTTCGCCAGAGAACAGCGAGGAAATGACGAGGATGAAAACCACTTCGTCCACTTTCTCCCTCGTGAGCAATGTGACTTGAGATCTGCGGCAGAAGCGGAGTTGATTCATCTCTGTGACCGTTGCCATGGCCCGGGAGGATATTGCTCGCCATTATCGCGATTGAGAATCACAAGCAAACAAACACTCAAGATCTCAGAAGCTTAAGTGAAATAAGATTGAAAATAGGCTTCGGGAAGAGAGAAAGCCAAGAAATAAGAACAGAAAGGGGCTGGGATCGTAATAACGTGACGCTGGTGTTTGCGGTGGTGGCGCAGTTGATGTCCAATGAAGACGCTGTGATGAGACACATTTACAGGGGGCTCAAGGCAGGGATCGAAACTCTAAACAAAGCTTGTTTTTTGCTGACGTTTTGCTCAGCAGGGTTCTAGACTCTGGGAGAAGCATTGGCCATGGTTTTACCCCGCAGAGTAAAATCTGATCTGACTTTTTTCATCAAGGGAGGGTTCGATGAGATGAAGGGTCTTCAGCCAGTCAGGTGTCCAACAGGCTAGATATGCTCTCACTGTGAAAGTCTACAGAGCTAAAGTCTTCCAGACTTATCGATAATGAAACCATCTCTTTAAGAGGTTTAGCCATGTTTCACAGCCCCATCACGGAATGGTCGCCCTCGATACTAGCGCGCACAAGATCTCGCCCCCGACGAAAAAAATACAAGCATAAGCTCGCAAAAAACACCCGTGATCCCGTCATCGGCAGTCTTATTTTTTTGACACCAAGACCAACGAATGAGAAACCCGTCTCCCCGCACTCACCCTGCAGGCTCACCGATTCTCACCGATGGGCAGAGTTTCATTCTCGCCTTACCGAGAACGCCTATTATGTAAAATGGTAATACACTTTAGTGTTGTTGGGTCACGCCTACGACGGAGCACGTTGTCATTGCGCGAGGGACTGGTATAGTTATCGTTATGTAAATTTTACATACAGTATACTTTTGTGGGTGAAAAAGTCTGAGCTCATGTGATGAAAATTTACCAATTGTCAATTTCTCTTGCTAGACTATATAACTATTCTTCTTTTTTCTACCGATACAATAATTATAGTCATTCTTTTCTTCCATCTTATATCTTCTATCTCGATTCCGACTAGTCCAAAGTTTCACGACAGCGTCTCCATCGTGATTGGACAGATCCGTTTTCGTCCAGCTTGATTCAAATAGCTTGGCTTACGACATCACCCGCGACGCACATAATAATGCCTTCAGCGGTGAGGACTAATTTCTTTCCTCCTCCATCAAAGCAGCTCAAGCCCATTCCCTTCCGTCCGATGAAGTCCCCCATCCCCGACTACCTCAACCGCGTGCTGGAGAATGCGCGGCCCATAGAAGATGGCAAGCCCGCCAGCTACATCGAGACGCTGGCAAAGGCGGACACGTCAAAGATAGCTGTTGCGCTGGCGATGGTTGATGGCCAGATTTACTCTGCTGGTGATGACGACGTTGAGTTTTCGATGCAGTCTATTTCAAAGGCGTTTGTGTATGCGCTTGCGATTGAGGATGCGGGGTTGGAGAAGGTGCTGGAGAAGATTGGCGTGGAACCCTCGGGTGACGCGTTTAATAGTTTGTCGTTGGAGCGCGGGAGTAACAGGCCGATGAATCCTATGATCAATGCCGGAGCCATCACAGCACATTCTCTCATCGGAGGACCAGACTGGACAGCAGAGCAACGATCAGACCGCATCCTCAAAGCCATGTCGAAGCTCGCAGGTCGTCAACTACGCGTCTGCGAAGAAGTTTACGAAGCTGAGCTGAGAGACGCCAATCGAAACATGGGAATCGGTTACATGCTCAAAGCAGCTGGTATCATCACCGGCGATGCTCAACAGATCGTGCAGGGATATATCCGCCAATGCGCCATTAACGTCAACGTTCGAGACTTGGCGACCATGGCTGCTACGCTCTGCAACGCGGGCTGTCACCCCGCGACGGGAGAAAAGATCATTCCTCAAGACAGCGTGCGGCAGATCCTCTCCGTCATGACGACTTGCGGCATGTACGATGCTGCAGGTGACTGGGTATCGCGCATTGGCATCCCCGCCAAGAGTGGAGTTGCTGGCGGTATCATCGGTGCTCTACCTGGTCAAATGGGTATCGCTGTGTTTTCCCCTAAGCTTGATACACGGGGAAACAGCGTACGCGGCGTCGCTATCTGCGAGCAGTTATCCAGCGACATGGGTCTTCACATGATGGACGTAAGCCAAATCGCCCAAGCAACCGTGCGCGTATCCGTCGCGACAATCCTCCCTGGTGATAACGAGCCCCACCACACAAACTGCAACAAAGAAGTCATAATCTTCAGTCTGCGCGGTGTAGTCCGCTTCGGCGGTTCAGAGCGCCTAACACGCGCCATCACACGAGAGCTCGGGGACCCGAACCCGGATGATCCAGGTTCTGGAAGGAGTCGGTTCGTGTGCGCTGTGGTGTTTTCGTTCCGCGATGTGTTTTCGTTCAATGCGGTGGCGCAGAAGATTATTCAGGCGGATATCACACGGTTGCTGCTTGATGGGCGGACGGTGGTTGTTATAGACCCCGTGGGGGTCTTGCAGATGGAGACGAAGCGGGCGGGTAGTAACCTCAAGATTGTGGATAATGAGACTGCTGCGAGGGATTATATTGGGGGAATTGGGTGCCATACTGTTTCAAAGAATGATGAATGGTGATATGGCGTTTTGGAAGATAAAATAGAAAATAATACTGATGAAACCAGCTGTGCCGATGCGTACTTGCGGTGATTAAAATAACAGCCAGTCCGATGCTATACCAGATAATGACGAACTGTCCACCGAAGTGATGTGTATAGAATCCTCGTCAGCTGTCCAGAACAAAAGCCCCCCACTTGGCGCCCGTCCTCATATGCCATTACATTGTGATACTGTCACCTCTGGTTGCAGTAATAGTAAAGATTGTCTTTACGGTCAGCAGGGGATACGCCTGTATATTTTCAGTATTGCCAGCAGATTAGGAACAATGACGCATCCAGGGAATTAATAAGCTCTAGCATAAATAGCATAAAAATAGAGAACGCGCAACTACCTTACTCAAAGAGTCCATTGCAACGCTGGATCCGAGTCCGAGGTAGGGTCCGTGATTAGTCTCGTCGAACGGAGCCCGCGGGCGCTGTTGGTCACTGCCGACGGCACAGTCTCCACTACTGAAGCTGCCTTGTATAAACAGATCAGCGCACTGAAGGTGAAGCTCAATCAGCATTGAAATGCAGTCAACAGCCTAACATTACTTTGATTACTTTGAGACAGACAATATGCCACAAATTATTCATCTCGTACGTCACGGCCAGGCCGTTCATAACCTCAGCGAAGCAAACAACATTCTGCCCGACACAGACTTGACGCCTTTGGGAGAGGAGCAAGCTAGAGGCCTGATCTCTAAACATCCTGAGCTTGCCAACGTTGACCTGATCGTGTCATCGCCACTGCGACGAACTCTCCAAACGACCTTGCTGGGATTTTCCTCTCAATTAGAGCGCGGCCTACGGATCGTGGCCTTGCCAGAGGTTCAGGAAGTCAGCGACCTGAACTGTGACACGGGCAGTGATCTCTCTGTGATAAAGGAGGAGTTCCAACAAGACCCTGTGGATTTCAGTCTGGTCGAGCCCGGATGGCAAATAAAGGTATGGAATACAGCCTCAAGTCATGTCAGAAAAGTAAGAGAGCTAACTATGAGTTTAGGAGGGTAAGACTAAATGGGCTCCAGTTGTTGGTAGCATTTTAGAGAGAGCCCGGGCCGCAAGGCAGTGGCTGAGCGAAAGGCCCGAGAGAGAAATCGTGGTTGTTACCCATGGCGGCTTTTTGCACTTCTTCACGGACGATTGGGTCAACTCTGTTAATCCTGACGGTATAGTGTTTGCCAACCAGACTTAGCTGTCTAGGTACTAACATCAACAGGTACGGATTGGGCTAACGCAGAAGTTCGCTCTTACACGATTTCGCATGACGAGAGCGAAGGGCCGGTTTTATATGAAACTATAGAGTCTAGAATGAGGCGAGGAGTGGAGTTAGTTCCTCCGACAAGGGAAGAGCAACTAGAACTGCGACGCACTGCTTTGAAGGCAGCGCTTGATTGGGGTTTGATACGGCCGTGAAAGATCTTGTTTATAGCACAGGTTCTATAGCATCAAGAAAGACCATCGTTTTCGAGTCCAGCTATAGCAAAATACTCAATTGGTGCTAAGTGACATAAAATGCTCCCAGTACATCAATTATGTAGAGGAGATAGGCTTCTTGGACATGGTCGCAACAAACGCCGCCAGCGCAGCCTCAGGCTGATAGGCTGGGACTTCATGACCAGCTCCATAAACACGCAGCCAGCTCAAGTTTCCAGAGGTCTTGAATTCGCCGTATTTCTTTCCACCGACAGTGAATGACTTGAGAGGAGCTGAAACGAATGATTGCGGGGCGATTGAGTTGAGGGCTCTGTAGTTACCCATCCAGTTGCAGATCCAGTCTAGTTATGTTAGATAACGAAATATAGGGGACAGGAGCCAGGGTAACTTACCAGCGTCGCCGGCCCAGATGAGAACTTGGATCTTGGAGTCAATGACCTGCTTAAGTGTCGGTAAGAATGATCGGCCCCCTGTAAAGAATCGTTAGTTCCAATCACGCATGCAGGCTCACGGGAAAACATACTATCACCACTAGCGATAAACTTGTTATAAGACTCATCACCACATTCCTGGTAATCAGACTGTGCGCCAATCGCCTTCATCACGGAGGCAGATGTAAGGTAGGTAGAGTAAGTCGAAGGAGGGAAAGGATCGTTGCTCGGCGCTCGAATGTCGTAGACATCAAAGTCTGCCAGCCTCTCCAGCGGGCTTTCGATCGCAGAGCTACAGACATCATCTGCGTTACCGCATGCGGCATCATTGCCTGTGAGACCGGGGCATTTGGCAAATGCAGGGACACACTTTTGGTTATAAGTGTTGAGATACTTGCTGTACTGGGTTGGTGTGATGAGCTTGCGGTAGGTGTTGTTGGCGGCGTAGTCGATGTAGTCTCTGTACTGGTTGCCTAAAATCACACGTCAGCATTGAATGCCAAGTCAAAGGCGTGGAAACTTACCAGGGTCAATCCAGCCATTGTTGATGCCGAGAGCTACAAGGTTGATCTTCTCGCCCTTGATCTTTCCAGCATCGATAGCAGCGTTCTGCTGCTCAAAATAAAACGCAAACTCGGGACCATAGTGACCACCGTAAGATTCAGTGAAAAGACCAAAATCACGGTTCTCATACTCGGGAAACTGGGCGTAGAAAGCTTGGAGGAGATTCCAGACTCGAGGAGCAGCAGCGAGAGTGGACACAGCGTCGTCGGTGCCGTAGCTGAACCCAGTAGCAATAGGTTGATCAACGTATAACTATAACCGTTAGCGAATTGTGCTTATGGGGAGTGGGTGATCGTACCATGTTGGCAAAGGTGTTCCATGAGTTGGGGTTCAGAGTAGGCTTGGACCCGCCGTTGTTGAAGGTACAAGGTCCATTTTCCTGAAACAAGCCGATCATGGAACTGCAGCCCGGACCACCGTTGAGCCAGAGGGCTAGTGGAGCCGTTTTCGCGTTCTTGCGTGACTCGAAGAACCAGAAAAACATGTTCATGTTGTCGCCTGAAAATAACATCGGTTAGGACTCGCAAAAGGAAGTGATGAAGTACTTACCAACGGAGAAGTAACCAGAGTGCTGGTTCACACCAGGCGTCGTCTCACAGATTCCAGAGTTGGAGACAATCTTGGTCTTGGAACCGGTCGCGGCATGTTCGAAGACCTTGTACTTGACACCAGCGTCTTCTTGTACGTACCTCTTGTCGAGGCTGGCAGCAGGTGTACAGCTGCCTTGGCCGACAAGGGCGAGCGCCGTAAGGACTGTCAACAAAGCTGTCTTCATGATAACGGATGCTATCGAACTCGAATGGAAGAGCGATAGTTGTACAAGAAAGACTGCCAAGACTGGAGGATCAAACTACACATATATAGATCTGAGCGGTCTCGATCGGGCGCCACTACCTATATCCCCGGATAGCCCGCATTCCATACGTTTCACCATACCCGTATACTATACGAGCAAAGTTGACAAATTGTCTTATCGCTTGGAAGATTAATGCCACCTTCCTGATTAAAGGGGGAGATCTTTTGTAAATGCCAAAGGTTCCTGATGATCCGGAGGCAGGATTAGCCAATACAGCGCGGGAGTCAGGCGACAGTGGGCAGTGGGTACTGTCGATCTCTGGGTCATCCCGGTCCCGTGAAACAAGGCATTGTCTTGCTTACATTGACCAAGCGGAATCACAAGGCAGACAACACTCCTGTTGAGACAGAGTTTCGACCGCCTCGCAAATATCTAAATATTTAACTGTTCGTATTATTCATTTCGGTACATCATGTATCACACAGATTAACCTGCAGAAGATCATCTTATCAAGCCTCATGGCGACCTTCCAGAACAAGCGATCTCCCGGGCCACGAGATCTAGGTTTCGGCACTTTTTAGCCGTTAATCTGGTGACCGTGCATGCAAGCTCACTTGCCGAATATCCGAGTGGGCGTGCTCTGATTGGCGCACGGGCTTATCGAGAATTCATGCTTAGAATTAATTATCTCACTAACCAAACCCAATATCGCAATGGTATGCAGAGATGTCGTATTAAATAGCCAATTAGAGATGTTCGGAGTATTGATCTGGTGGAAATTTCCGCCTATAGGTCGTCTACTGTTTCTTGCTGTTATGTAATATGACTATAGAAGTGATATTATATCTGTGACCGCAAGTCTGTAGTCTGGTATAGAGGCCGGAGAGTCAACAAATAAGCCGACGATCAGCTCATTAATTCCACTACTGCCCTCCATGGTTCGTTTTAAATTCTGGCATCACTATGGTCCAGCATTAGCCTCAGATGCGGTGAGTAATATTTAACTCTAAGTATATCCAAGCAGTAGCTGCATTATTCGACCGCTGTCCTGTCTTTCAGCTATCTCCATTGCACTTCTGTCCTTATCACCACTAGTTGCTATGTTCACCTTGGCAGTCCTGAGAAGCTGCTTTACTACATCCTACTGTCCCACTTGAACTGCATACAAAAGCGAAGGGCATCCGTCCCCATCCGCCCTGTTAAAAGCCACTCTTGAAAGTGCCCAGAGTATATGGTAAATCTTCATATTTCATATTTAATAGCATCAGCTGAAGATGATGCAGTGCTGCCTGAGAAGCCGTCTCGCTGCTCGAGAACCATGCGCATAAACTTTTTGGAAGCACGAAGAAGAGTTCCTCACCATTTTCATGTACACACCATCCAAGGGGTGCACGGCCATCTATCCACCAACTGAAATAGATTTCATCTCGGAGAAGGAAAATGACGATATTAACATGGGCGTGTCTAATAGCTTACGTGAATGCAGTACCTCCGCGTCTGTTGTCCCAGGCTTAACATTACCCTTGCCCGTTCTGAGAAATCGCCTTACGATGCCCGCGTGGAAACGTATTAGGTTAATGAATAAAGGTGTGCATCCACGACCATCTTATCTATCTGTCTGTTGAAGTCCGCTTTTCGCACGTTGACCAGTAGCTTGGCTATCACTTTATAGCCTTCCTCTCAGTAATGAAAAGAGAAGGTTTATCTTACAGGAGATAGATGTTAATGTCTTATACTTATAGAAAAAGCTTGGCAATAGACAGATCATTCTTTTAGGTAGCCAGTCGTAGGGTGAGTCTAACCAGTCGCCGGGACGATTAGCTGCAGGTTTCTTTCTCTGAATAAGCAGGGTACCACAGCACATTCCTTATATAGCTATCATGCTGCTTGAGCTTTGAGTTCTTTAGCCTCAGTTGCTTGGAAAAAGCTCATAATACCGAAATAAGCAGCTAAAATCCAAATCGTCATTCGAGTGATCTCTGAACCGAAACCGCCCTATAGCCACTCGCTCTTAGCCACTAGCTTTAGATTGACTTTGTAAGGGGGAGAAATATAATCTGTTCTAAAGGGTCAAGTGAAATGCCCGCTGCATGGTAGCCTTAAGATTGTGTCATGTACTCATACAAGGGATTGTCGCGTACCCGGGACTATATTCTTTATCACATACACAAGGTGTAATACGGCAATAAACCCAAGATATGTCATGCATGTTCTGAAAGTACAGTTCTGTGGCTTTGGAAACCACATTTCGGGGATGTCGCCTCTTTTCTCCATTATCTGGAGTTACTACATATAGCTGTCATTTGACCTCGCCATGACTGGGTCAAATTATTCAAAGTTTGTCGTAAATGTCCTGTCGTTGGCTGATCTAGGCGATCCCGAGTTTGCAAAAGTATCTGCGGAAATCTGATGCGGATGTTAGTTTTAGACATGGATCAAGCCTGTTATAAATTACCAACAATCCATCCCCAATATAGGAGACTGTTGCGGTCATTTGAACACGAAAGCTAACATTCATACTCAGCTCTGTGGCCTGCGATATCTCCTGGTATATGTAACGAGAGACATTGTGGCTAGTTGCTGAAAAATTGAACTAGAGATCATAACAACAAAGTGTTTAAATTAGAGGTAGTCTAGTCAAAGCGGAAGGAAACCCTTTTCTCAACGGAAATGACTGAGGGTTCCGTGTCTGAATGTGGCAAGGTGAGCCATGTTTATGCATATTTTGGCTGATCCACACTATGACAACCACAGCATTATTGCACCTATGGGGCAAACCGGAGTCCAGCATTCATTCCCCGAAGAGAGAATTCGGATTCCGGAACAGCGCCACTCAAGACCGAATTTGTACCACAAACCCGATGATCGTACATTTCCTAGTCCGGAGACAGCTTAAAAAGTTAGCCTTTTACCAAAGGATGGAGTAAACTCCGCATCTAGCATTTTGGCGAAAAGAGACACGGAAGCTAATGATCCGAACGACCAGCTAAGGTATGTCAATTCCACCCGATTTGTATGTTTCTTAAATACGGCTCCGCCGCCGTTGGCAACCTTTATGTGAAAAGGTTTCCAATAAACCGCTCTCTACTGTTACAATGAAGTTAACGGCCTATGTCAGCCTCTGGCTGCTTAGTCTTCTTCACCTGACCCTGGGTGCCGAGGTTGTCCCCAGGTCTACCTTTACGGAGGTAACTAACTATGGCGACAATCCCACTGGTACTCGCATGTGGCTATATGTTCCAAAGACTCTAGCCTCGAAGCCTGCAATAGTGGTCGGCATCCATTGGTGTACCGGAAGTGCCCAGGCATACTATCAGGGCACTCAATGGGCTCGCTACGCCGAGACATATGGCTACATCGTTATCTACCCTCAGACACCATATACACAAGATAATTGCTGGGACGTGGCATCAAAGATGACCTTGACTCACGACGGCGGCGGTGCCAGCACCTCGATCGCCAATATGGTCAGATTTGTTACCAAGGAATATAACACTGATGAGAGCCAAACCTTTGTTACGGGTACTTCTTCAGGAGCTATGATGACGGTATGTGAGATAGAGGTCTCTTTACAAGAGCAAGCTAATGTAGAAACAGAATGTCATGGCTGCAACCTACCCGGATCTCTTTGCGGCAGGAATTGCATATGCAGGTGAGTCAATAAATTTGACAGCTGATGCTTTCTAATACACTACTTACACATTTATGCAGGTGTCCCAGCCGGTTGCTTCAAGAGCGCAGATAACATCCCCGATTTCTGGAACTCAACATGTGCCAATGGCCAATCCATCTACACCCAAACTCAATGGGCCAATGTTGTTAAGGATATGTATCCCGGATATGATGGACCACGACCTAAAATGCAAATCTATCACGGGTCGGTAGATCAGGTATTGAATGTGCAGAACTACTACGAAACTATCAAGCAGTGGACTGGCGTGTTTGGTTACTCAACTAACCCGCAATCTACCACGCCTAACTACCCACGGAGCCCTTATACCAAATACACCTTTGGCGATAAGCTACAGGTGAGATAAACAAGAATTCCACTTTTAAGAAATATGGCTGACATTACGTATAGACGTTCTTGGGCCAGGGCGTTACTCATTCGATTGACGTGTTTCCGGAGGAAGACTTGAAGTGGTTTGGCTTCGCCGTAAGTCACATCGCTGTCAATATCCTACTCATTGTGCATCGCCTAACAAAGTCCCAGGATCCAGTAAAGCCATCATCCACTACAACCGCCACAACACCTACAAATACTGGTAACTCTGGAGTTTCTCCCCAGTGGGGTCAATGTGGCGGCTTAGGGTGGACAGGTCCTACACAAGTAAGTAGCCAGTCAACCAAGGCTTCTGTGTGAAGTTGTTAACGTAAAGTACAGTGCGCGAGTTCATTCAAATGCGTCAAGGTTAACGACTGTGAGTTCTCTGTCAAATGTTCGTTGGATCTATATGCTAACATCTACACAAGGGTATTCGCAGTGTCAATAGGTAGTTATTCCTGGGATGAGCCCTGTAGCTGGCCGGAGAACACGGCGTTGAAGAAGTCCACCTTCCCTCCTCCACATTGCCGATAGCTTCCCCGCATATAGTCCTCCATCGAATATTATCCGGCAATGAGATTAACACCCAAGTCGAGCTACATCGAGTACGATTGGGCTGGAATAAAAGAATGCTACATATCCGTGTACTACGTACTCTACATGCACCATTACCCGGTCTTGCCAGCTCATACGACAGCAGCTTGGCCTTGCAGACTACTATTTCCAAAGTTCATGTTGAGAATGAAAACTATCAAGATTTTCTACAGAATAAGGAATAACGATTTCAGCCAGTTCGTAATTGACGTTTTGCTTTGAAGATGTATGAGCGTGACTCGAAAACTAGTTTCTACGGCGCTAGATCGCCACGAAGGCCTGGCCTCTATTTGACCTGTTAATAACAAATGATAGTCGGTTTAATGTGATGCCGCTAAACTTTTCCGCGCTGGCCGGCTGCTGACGCGTTCCCACCAGGCACTCAATGCCGGCCTTTTCGTAATCTCATCCTGCAACGCGAGACGCGGCAGAAACTCAAACCAAGGCACATGGTATATATCAACTAACGAAAATTGCTAAGAACATTCAACACGAATTCTGCTCAAAGGGTAAAGATGACTCACATTTCCAGCAAGGTACTCGCGATGAGAAAGGACTTTTTCGTAGTGATCCAAGACCTTGACCAACTCGATTTCCAGTCTCTCAACTGTGGCCTTGTCAGGATCGCCACGTCCCATAAACCTGGCTTGTGTAAGTGTGGTGCATCCTAGGCAAGGCTGGGAGAATCAAGTACCCTTTGAATAATTTCTCATACGCCAATGTTTTCATTGTCGGATCGAAGTAAGAGTACTCAACGCTAGCCGCTTGCTCGTAAGTTGCCAGCTCAGGGTAGCTTTGATCCGTGCGTCTATCCAAAGCGCTCTTTGGCCCGTACTTTGCAACCAAGTACTCGCAAATTGCCCGAGACTCGAACAATCGCGTCCCGTCATCATCAAGAACTGGAATTCGTCCGAATGGATGGAAATCTTGCACAAAATTGGGTGCCTAATCGGGATAAGTAACTTTCACTTGTTGGGTATATGGCTTCTTACAAGATGCTCGCCCTTCTGCATATTGATGTCAGATAGTTGATATTCGGTGATATTTAGTTCTGAAAGAACTAACAACACTCGTTGAGTGCATGTTGATTGCCGTGATCCGTATAGAGTGAGAGTCATCCTGGTAGTTTCTGTTTACTGAACTGCGGATCGGTGCAGTAGGTTTGTCTAGTAGATTTGGTTTCAGAAATAATAAAGACTGTTTGCAGTAACACTTACAGTTCTAGGCTATATAGAGGCTGGACCTTGGCGTGTGGAGTGGTGGTGGAGTATTCGGGATGTGGAGTCGGCGAAAGAGGTAATAACGGGCACGGCACGTTACGGCATATTGTGCCGCTACGTATCATCAATACTTAGGATAAAAGAGGCGTGATCAGTATTGTCGCCATTGGACCAACGATTAATCCAGAAAACAGTTGCAGCTTCACAATCTCTCGCCCTTGATAAACAGCCCAAAATGCCTTCCGAGGATGTTCATCCAAGCCCCAACGGACCGAACCAAGTCGATGATACGATTCCAATTACCCAGAGTCAGAGGACTTTGTTCGAATTTGGGTCGTTCGATCATTCGGATATTCCACTAGAGCCAGAAGAATGGCCCGTTATCATCATCGGGTCAAGTATGGTAGGAATGACTTTGGGCGTGCTTCTGGGATACCATGGGTAAGACTGTTGCTCAACGCCTATGCCAACCGGACTGACCTTCTGCAGTGTCAAGTCTGTGTCTTTTGACCGCCATCCTTCTACTGCCATACATCCCCGCGCTGCATTATTTCTCCTGCGCTCTGTCGAGATCTTCCGCCAGCTAGGTCTTGAGGATGAACTCCGCTCAGAAAGCGCCTCAAATTTTGACCTTGATGCTGGAATGATCATTGTCGAGAAGCTAGTAGGAGGCAAGGTCCTGGCGAGTATGCAAGAGAGTGATCCAGCTGAAGTAGCTAAGGCTAGCCCGAGTCGCCGCTTATGGCTGACTCAAAACATGTTTGAGCCTCTTCTGCGCAAAAGGGCAAAGGAATTTGGTGCCGCCCAGGAGTTCAGCGAGACCGTCGTGCACTATGAGGAACTGTCAGACGGTGTACTTGTGGTGGTGCAAAACGTTCAATCAAAAAGCTACAGGAAATTCAAGACCAAGTATCTGGTTTCTTGCGATGGAAATAGGAGTGCGACGAGGAGAAAAGAAGGCATCGAGTGGCAAGGTCCGGGGGTCCTCGGTGAGAGTATTTCTATCAACTTCAAAGCCGATCTAACGCCATACCTCGGAACTCGTGCTAAACACGGCGTCACTTATATCTCCAACCCTGCTATCGATGCTGGCTTCCGCCTGGAAAGCGGTGGCAAGGCTGGATTTATGATCGTCACACGAGCAGGCGATAAAAGGTCCTTTTCGCCAGACTCGGTCTCCGAACGAGACGCGAAGCAATATTTCAAGGAGGCAAGTGGCATTGTGGACGACATCGATATCAAGGTTGACTCCATTTCATACTGGTCGGTAGCGGCCTTTAATGCCGAGCGCTTCATGAGCACAAATGGCCGTGTTTTCATTGCCGGAGACGCAGCACATGTGATGCCTCCGACTGGCGGGATGGGTGGCAACACCGGTATACAGGTAATGACTTGGACCCTATTAGATAAATCATTACAGCACGCTGACTTACCTAGGATGTTCACAACCTGGCATGGAAGCTCGCCTATGTTTTGAGAGAAAAAGCCGGTACTTCGCTTCTCCAGACCTATGACACCGAGCGACAGCCGGTAGCTGGACTTACGATGCGGCAGGCGTACTCAAGGCTTCAGAAACGAGTATTTCGCAAGGTCCCAGATGAGCCAGAACTTCCCGACATTACCTGTGAGATAGGGTATCGTTACCCTTCTGCTGCTGCTGCGCATATCCAAAACGCCGGCAGCGACCAGTACGAAGACCCGTATGCACCACTCGCAATGCCCGGGAGCCGGTTCCCACATGTGCCACTGGTACAAAACAATCTCCAGATATCTACCTTGGACTTGATCAAGACAAATTTTGTTCTTTTCACAACTGATCCATCATCACCATGGATCGAAGCGGCCAAAGACATGAGACCTGAAATAGACACTCACAGTATTAACAGGGACACTGGTACCTTCAATGATCCTGACGACGCTTTCAGTCGTATCTGTAAGATCTCTGAAGGCGAGGCTATCCTTGTTCGGCCTGATGGATTTATTGCCTGGCGAGGGGAACAGAGGAAGGATGGGCATAGAAACGTACTGCAGAAGGCATTGGAATCTGCTTTACATTTAACTCATTGAAATGAGTAGTAATAAGTAAGAAGACAATACCATACTTTAGATAAATCGGATTATTATTGTTCAACTCGTGGGATGTGCTTGTAGGAACTCGGCAAAATCGGCTTTGGCGAGCTAATTGTGTATTAGCGCCAGATAAGGCAAATGCCATTCACTGGTCAGATTGTCGCCTCCCCAAACGACATACCATCCATCGCCAATTGATCGCATATCTTATCAGACTTTAAAACACTCATTGGATTTATCTTATCAGTGCACAAGCCACTGCAGGATCACTCTTGTTAACTTGGTCCTGTAGCCACGATGCAGTTGCCGTCCAAGCCGAGATAAGACGACTTTACAGGGTAGGTATTGAGCAATTTATGATAACTGGTCTGATCTTGTCGGTATCTATATTTAGAGTATACAAGCTTTTGCCAAGAGATTTCCCCATGGGCAATCTACGTATCTATCTGACTGGCTTCTGAGAGGTGCATAGGTACTCATCGACCCGAGATCATTCACAGGTTCGACTACATAAAGGAATTTGGAGTCTCGACCGAAGCATTTAACACTTTGGCGAACACGGACACACGTATTGTTGGCTTCATTTGACTGAAAGATGTTCCAGCTAAGTATCGTATTGTTGCTCACCAACCATAGTTCAGCGATAACCTTGTTCTGGCCAGAAGCTTAACATAGCACACACAGTTGCGGCAACTCGGCACAAACCCACGTTGCGTTCGCTCCATGACGACTTGACAGCTATCGCTAATCTTGATAGCTTTCGATTTACGTAAACTCCTATTAACAAGCTATTGGCATGTACAGGATAGTGATTATAATAAACATGATCAACATGCCCAAATTCCCGAGTTGGAATTAGATCAAGTATTCTTCTTGAACATTTCTATTGGCATCTGTCCATTACCCTAGCATCGTTCTCGGTTCTGGTAGACGTGTACAATTTTGTTCAAAGTATAGCCCTGAGTAGCGTGAGCTATGGCAACATCCACGGCTTCGGCTGCAGCAGCAGCGTCATCTGTCGTTTGGTGGACACCAGACCCCAAGGCCGGTGTTGGAAGTGGTAAGTCTCCGTTCACTATACAGCTCAAGAGGAACCACCTCATTCATGTATCCAATGACTGACATCACGTAGGTGATAATGCATGGCAACTCACAGCTGCTTCCCTCGTCGCGTTACAATCGATCCCCGGTCTCCTCGTCCTCTATTCAGGAATCATGAAACGGAAATGGGCCATCAACAGCGCCTTCATGGCCCTCTACGCATTCGCCTCGGTGCTACTCTGCTGGGTTCTTTGGGGTTATAAGGCCTCATTTGGAGAGTATATGCTTCCATTCGTGGCCAAACCCGGAAATGTTCTCGGCATTGACACGATGCTGAAGCAATCTTACCTCCCTTCAATTGGTGTCGGTCAACAATTCCCTATGGCCACTATGGTATACTTCCAGTTTGTCTTTGCCGCCATTACCTTGGTCATTACTGCTGGCGCTTTCCTTGGCCGAATGAACTTCTACGCCTGGATGATATATGTTCCTCTGTGGCTGACTCTATGTTACACTGTTGGCGCTTATTCAATCTGGGGAGGAGGCTTTCTCTTCAAACTCGGCGTTATTGACTATTCTGGAGGATATGTCATCCATCTCTCGTCAGGCACAGCAGGATTCATCGGTAGCTACTGGATCGGGCCACGGCTCAGCAGTGATCGCGCAGATGCCAGACCGAGCAATATTCTGGCAGTTCTCATCGGAGCGGGTATCCTCTGGGTCGGTTGGAATGGCTTCAACGGTGGTGATCCTTACGCAGCTTCAGCCGATGCAGGAGTCGCTGTGTTGAACACGAATCTTTGCACTGCTGTTTCGCTTCTTGTCTGGACGGGCCTGGACATTGCATACTTCAAGAAGCCTTCTGTCATTGGAGCCGTGCAGGGCATGATCACTGGGCTTGTTGCCATTACACCAGCTGCTGGCGTTGTCGCAGGCTGGGGCGCGATCCTTCTCGGTGTTGGTTCCGGCTCCGTTCCGTGGTTCACCATGAACATCCTGGCCAAGAAGATGACATTCCTGGAGCGTAACTTTGACGACACGCTCGGAGTCATGCACACGCACATGGTGGCTGGTGTTGTTGGAGGCTTTGGTACAGGTCTTTGGGCTACTGTGGATGGCTGCGCAGCCTTTGGTCTGACCAATCCCGGAGGAGCCATCGCTGGTAATGGCATGCAGCTTGGATACCAGATGGCGGGTGCATGCTTCATCATCGGTTGGAACCTTGTGTGGACCAGCCTCATCATGCTCTTTATCAAGCATGTGCTGCGAATTCCACTTAGAATGACTGAGGAGCAACTGCTTCTGGGAGATGATGCAGTCCATGGAGAAGATGCTTATGTTCTTGGTCCGTGCGAAGCCCATGCACATGGATCTGGGAGTATAGAAGGTAGAGGAGAGTCTTTGCACAGTCATGATCTTGAGCTTGGAGCAAAAGACCATCATGGAAGTACGACATCAGCAGAGAAGGAGAAGGCAGGGCCTAGTAGGGAGCCTAACTATAGTTAAATAGGTACAGGCATAGTTTGTGTATTTAAGTATTGAATTGAATAATATGATAGGTCTTAATATACATAGCCACATATTCGTGCAGCTCAACCTGACGGTTAATTGGAGAGAGAGTGGGGATGTAATGAAGATCCTCAGCTCTAATGCTCACTACGCTACACGCCTCAGCAAATGTGTATTCAGTGTTCAGCTCTTAGCTCATGCGCTTGAAAATATCTAGAGGCCGCGGAGTCAGCTAGTCTGTGGAAACCGCCCAGAAGATGCTGTTGCGTTATTGAGAGACTGGAAAACCCTGGTCTGTAGGTTATGGCGAGACCGATGAGATAAATCCACTATGAAGCAGCTGAGGACTTCCTGATTGGTGATCTTCACAATTGCGCCAATCATCGCCTTAGCATACACCCGTTTACGGAGCCAGCCGAGATGAAAAACGTTCCATGTTTACTCCACAACTTAGCTCGAGTCAATTTAGGTGAATCTGATTATAAATTTCAGTGCGAAAATTCCTTAGGCGAGTTACTAAGCTCGACGGACTTGATGGACTTAGCGGACTTAAGTGACACTTACGATTTTCAGGTTATATTCGCATAGCAATACGATTATCATATAAGTCGATAAAATCTACTATATCATTTATTTCATCACAGACATCAATTCACAGCTCTCTTTACAGCACAACCCTACCGAGACATTCACAACTCTTCCATTTACGAAACAACTTTCCACCATTTATCATGTCTCCCTCTATTGCCCAGCTGCCTCTCCTTGGGCCTCTCGTCGGTCTCAGCACCTGGACCTTCGCCATGGAAGGCCTGCTGTATTGGCGCCGAACTCCCGCCCTTTCCAAGTACGGTGTCTCCTTCGATCCAGAGACTGCTAAGAAGCAGAAAGCAGAGAAACTGCCTGCATTCGTGCAGTGGCCCGCCGACAATTACAACAACTTGCTCGAGCAACCTACTCAGTTCTACGCTGTTGTGCTCGCCCTGAGCCTGCTCAACGCCAAGGACAAGACCACAGTGCGCCTGGCGTGGGGATATGTCGGCCTGAGAGTGGTTCACAGCCTCATTCACGTCTCGTACAACAACCTGCTTCTGCGCTTCCCCGCCTTTGTCGCAAGCTCCATTGTGCTCTTGGGCATCACTGCCAAGGCGGCCTTGGAGCTTTGGTATTAAGTCTGTCTCGCATAATGAGGCCGAAGCGCAGGGCCTGGGTCTGTGGCAAAAAGCATCGTTAAAAAAGGGTACAAACAACAACACTGAGCTGCAAGAATTTCGATCGACTATGTACAGCCTTCGACCTCTACTACGCGACTTGAGCTGAGTCAAAGGCGTGAGGTAACGCGACTCGAACTCCGAATAGACTCATGCATACAAGACTCTGGCGACATTTAGATGGCTTTCGATTCATCAAAATTAGGACCGCAATGGTGCATGCACCTATAGAACTAGGAATAGAAAAGCATTCAATTCATTACTACCTGCTACCAGTTTACAATTTCGAATCCAACGTGCAATCTTCCATTAATAACCTCACGCAGTCAACAACGGAGACGCGACATACATATTCATAAATCCCCTCTTCAATCTCTCCGGAATTGCAGCAATGCTCTTCAGCTGGCTTACATCACCCCAACCCAAACTCTGAGCCAAGGCGCCCACAAAGTCTTGCTGGCTCTTTTCTTCCAGTGCAGGACTTACCCAAGCATCATGAACGTCTTCATATCTCTGCTTAATATCGTCATTCGGCTTGACTGGAGCCCATGCATCCTCCGCCGTAACCATACCAGGGAAGCTCCGTTCGGCAGTTAGCTCCTGGAGGTCTGCATCCGCAACCTTGTAGGGTGGGAATGGGTCTGGGGACATGGTAGGTTTGGGTGCAGTGACTCTTACGCCTGTCATGAGAGAGGGGCTGCCGTTGTTGGTGTTGAGCAAATCACCGACGTTGTTTCCACTCTGGCGTGGATCAGTTCGGCGGTCATCTGAATGGGTTAGCTCTAGACTTCAAGGCGGTATCCAAAACTTACATTTTGCCCACAGAGCGCTTGGAAGCATCTGAGTATATCTCTCGAATTGCCAATCCTCCTCAGGGTTGCTTCCGTCCTCATGGACTATTTGGATCTGTAAAATTGAAGACATGGGCGTTGTCATACTCATCGGCTTGCTGAAAACATCATTGCCCTGCAAGATTGGATCCCAGCTATTATTTGTTGAAACACCGTTTATGGCCATCTTACACTCAGCCACAAACACAAATGTGCCAGCTCGGACAGTCCAAGGGTCGTTCTGTCCCTTCTCGGGCTGATCATCAGGGTTCAGGAGCCCAGACTCAGCAAGGAAGTTGTGTGCTTCATTCTTGGGTTTGGTAGATGTCGACGCTGCAATGGGCTCCTGTCGCTGTTTGCCCGTGATGAGGGAAGTGGCAGATGCAAAGGAAGATGCAGGCGAGTCTTGCAGTACAAGCTCATAGAAGTCGGACAAGCTGACAGGGTCGATCTTGGGATGGTGATCGCCAAAATTGATATCGAAAGCAACGATCCAGAAGTCAACGTGAACGCGACCAGCGACAGGCGGGCCCCAAAGATACAGTTCAGCACCGATTTGGACTGAGATGCGAATATGGATGAACCAGAAGTCGATGCTGAACCCGACTCCGACAGAGACACCAGCTGACATGTCAAAGTAGAAGGGTCGGTAATTGATAAGAAAATTGGCAAAGGCGTCAAACCATGCAGACAGAGGTCCTGCTTTAAACGCAGCATGGAGACGGCCACCAGCCATGCATGCCTTGGTAGTGATGGCGAAATATGCCTCTCCAGAGATCGACAAGCCACCGCCCAAGTCCCAGCTAATACCCAGCCGAGGGGGGTTAGGATAGCCAACGGGCACGCGGAAAGCTTGGTGGTACCCGCCCAAGGTGAAGACAAAGTCCCCGATTCTGGCTCTGTCCGCGAGAGGCGCATCGAACCAGTAGCAGAGCGCAAAACCGCCAGTCAGATGGCAGTTGGGGCTAAGGATGTAAGAGCGAGGTGATAGCTGCGCCTCGATCTTGAGGAAGCCATAGTCAAAGTCCAAGACAGCGGCGATACCCAACTCAGCATGGGCAAGCTTAAGTCGCGAATTGGATGAAGGAATGTCACAAGTCGCTACTGCGAAAATTCCCAACTTCACCGAGTCACCGAACTGCACAGCAACCACAGCATCAACGCTCAGCATACGGAATGCAGAGAGTTTCATACCAATGGCACCCCAGTAGGTGCTGTCAAGTGGCTGGAACCACCCGCCGCCTGTAGGACTGACAAGCTCCATAAGGACTTGTTGAGCATTGTCGTTATTACTCAAACTGCTGCTGTTGATGAAGGGGAAATCCGAGACTTGGTCTATAGAAGGCAAACGGACGCTACTGTTGTAGCCAAAGCCACCGCAGATACCACTGATCTCAGCAAAGGCAAGTGTCATGAGTGGGCCGTTGAGCTTTGCGAAGACAAACACGCTCTGGAAGCTGTTGCTGTTTGCGAGAGTGATTACTCCGTAGAAGCCAGCTGCTTGGAACTGGTAGGGACGGAAGCCGATGATAAGACCGCCAGCATAGTAATCCATGGCGCCGTCATTGCCGTGGACGATGATGCCAGCGATTGTCAATGGACGTCGGTCAAAAGACGCTGCTAGTCCGTCAATGTTGACGCTAATTGCTGGCAGCTCATCTAGGCTCTTGAATCGGGAGTTGAGTGTGAAGCCGAGAAGAGAGAACCCAATCGGTCCAAGCTGGAATGTCGCGTCAAAGGTGATGGACAGGGTCTTTGCCTTGTATTTCAGACTGACGTTGCTGATGGCTATAGGCCCCGTGTCTTTCTTGAATGGTGCTTGGGCACTAGGACCTCCGTCGTCCATCTCCTCCTCGGTGCGTCTTCTGCTCTTTTCCTCGGCGCTAGAGGCCAGTGCTTGAGATGATGAAGGCTTGGGCTTCATAAAGCCGTAGCTTAGTAGACACGCGCGCTCACCCTTAGCGACGTTACGTATGATGACAGCGAAGTGACATCCTGATGGCACAAGAAGGTCAGTTGATTTAGCCTGATCAGGCTTGATCTTGTCAGCAACAAGCAGCGGATCCTTTTGCATCACGCCGGTGTTGAGGAGACCCATATCCTCCCGCGTCAGGCCTGTGATTTGTCCAGGACGAGCTGGCGGCTTGGGATCCTGGACAAAGAGGAAGTATAGCTCATCAAGTGGCTGGTACAGTGTGCCCACAAGAGGTATCTCAAGTTCCATGTTACCAAAGCCATTGATGGCTGCTTTAAACAGTCTCTTGGACGGATCTTTGGGACCCCATTCTGTGCTATGGAGTTGGGAGAATAGGAACTGGAGTTGTCCAATGTTGAGAGTGGCCAGGAATTGGAATGACTCGATGCCGGAGACGGCGTCTTTCATCTTCTGGATATCAATAGAGAACGCGTCCTTGTTGTCGCCGACTATCAGAGTGTCATAGACAAAGTCAGGTATGTCAAATGAAGAACCGAGAAGGTCGGTGAGTATATCTCCGATAGTGGCATTCCTGTCAGCTGGGTTCAGTGCCGCCGAGAAGTTAAAGCCACTAGACGTGTAATTGAAGTCGAGGTTCAATCTAAGCCCCGCAATGACCAAGTCACCAGAGATGGTGAACGTGCTTCCCACCGACTTGGTATTATTTCCAACACTCTGCTTTTCGTACGTATAATGGACAGACAAAGTGTTGATGGCAATGGAATTGATCAGCGGCCCAACATGGTCCTTCTCATCATCGTGGAAGAACTCGGTTAGAGCTGCTGCATACAAGCCATTGATAGCGGCCGTAAGCTCCCAAGACTTCTTAGAGGAGTCATAGCCGAGAGTTCCAACAAATGCAGCGGGGAGATCAAACTCAGAACCCTCTGGTGGATCAATCAGGACGGATATCCCGACGTCAAAGGTGAAGACTGAGCTGCTACCCCAATTGAAGTAGATGGCGAGAACAACCTCGCCGAGATAGGGCTGGGGAGCTGAGCCTGGAGTTGGAGGGTTTGCAGTGGCTTGGCAACGAAGGGAGAATGATTCTTGGGATAACTCAATGGATGCAAGGGTTATCTGAGAGGGTAGTGTGTCGGGGATATCGACCACTGTCTGGCCTGGAACCAAGGTGGCGATATCAATGGAAGACGCAGGTGAAGCAGTCAGTGGCTTCAAGATAGCCCACTTCTCACCCTCTGGTTCCAAGTCGAGGTCATCAGATGCGTCAAAGTCTGCAGATAACTTCAATCAGTAAATGTCATAGAAAGCGCAGATGATCAAGTCATTACTTACTGTTCCACAGCTGTCCGGACAGAGTACCATAGGTACCGATAGAACGATTCCAGTTATACGTGATCAGGAAAACAGGAGTGTCATTGCTCTCTCCACGACCAAAGTTGGCAGTAACTTCAATGTCAAAAGAAAATGAACCGAGTCTAGGATTCTGTGGATCCTTTCTTGTATCAAGCCCAATGCGCAATCTTCGCAGGTTCACAGCATCCAGAACCTCTTCTTCCTTGGTCTTACCAAGAATCTCATTGACAACCGTCTCAACTTCCTCATCGTTGGTGAGGCTAGCTAGCCATTGGAGTATTCCAGGAAGAGGGTCTGCGGATAGGAACATGAAGGTAAAGTCAATCGTGGTAGCGGTAAACTCAACGCCAGCGAGCATAGAGACTGTACTCCCAGCACTGTTCAGGGAGCATTCGATGCTAAAGGTCACTTGACCAGCGAAGAGAGGCATCTCGCCATTTTCCGTAACGCCCAATTGCATTTTGTTTTTGTACACGACATCTGCGCTATCAATAACGAGACCTTTAAGGGCAATTGAGAAAAGCTCCTGCAATGCATCGAAGTCTGAGAGCTGGAACTGGAGACGAGTCTCAAGCCGCTTCTCCGCCGACGGAACAAACCATAGGGCGTTCCTCATGGGCTTTGCATTCTCTGGTGGTTTGCTCAGCGTCACCTCGAGGGCGAGGACTGCAAGAGGGATGAACTCCGTCATGCCTTCTTGGTTGGCATTCGTGAAGACGTCTTTGACTCTGATACCGGTGATGTCTTTCATGTTGGCAAAGTCAAGACCGCAAATCAGCATGTTGCCGGTCGGGTCAATACCAGGCGCTTCAATGCGCGATCCAGTCTCATCACTGCCGAGAAGGCCGGTTGAGCCGAATGTAAAGAGTAGAACATCGCTGGCAGAGCTAAACTCAAGGGGCCAGGGCTGGGAGAGGGAGAATTGAAAGCTTTCAATGTTCTTTAAACCATCGACGGTGACGGAGCCACTGGCGCTCGGATCAATGTTCTGGAACCATTTTATGGTCTCGTCAGAACCGTCGAAACTGGCAGTTGGGTTTGGGGCTTCGGATAAGATGATGACTTTGCTGGGGTTCAAGCCAGCTACAAACTTATCCAGGTTTGTTCCTGCTGCCAGGATCTGGATGTTGTCTCCTGGACGTTGACCTGATGAGCTGGCATAGATGCTGTAATTTCCAGCGCCGGATACCCCCAAAGCTCTGCTCGAGCTATCGCCATCGTTGGGGTCTGAAGACACCGTCATCTTTCTAATCAAAAGTGAAATGGTGCCCTAGTGAATGTGTCTGATCCTTGAGGACCGGATATGGTAGGTAGTGAGAGCTTCCTCCGCGAAACTGAGTCAAGGGTACTAATATGTTAAAAAGGTGAGTTATTGAAATTTCAAGAAGTGAGTTGGATACCTCAGGTTGGTAGGAGAAGACAAGCAGCGAATGAGCAGAAACATGGAAGAAAGAAGAGCAATTGGGTTTCTCTTGGATCCTCAGTGACGGGGACCATGATAGACCCCGAAAAACGTGCCGCAGAATACGTTCTCAAGCAAAGGCAGCTTCTTGGTGTTGCCATCAAGACATTCCGATAAATGCATGCCGATCAATTGATGTGCACTCAATTGAAGCGGGGTGTGAGACGAGTACAAGTTTTTGTCACTGTGTCTCACGGCACCTCCAATTCATCTGCAAGCTGCATGCGATGTTCAGGTTTGGCCAAAAGACCCCCACATCTCGATTGTTGGACGGGTTGTGACACAAAAATGCAGGTAGATCCAGATCCGCTGTCGTGCATCCGAGACGGGCGGTATTGTCTTGGCCCGGAGAGAGGAAAGAGGGGGAGAAAAGATGAGAGACATTGAGAAATCAAGGTTGAATGAGTAGGCATGTGAAACCATCGGTACATGCGAACTTGACTTCCATTTTGGTTTGCCAGCTTGATGAGGTAATCTGAGTTGGCTGCTGGTTCAGCTTCACCCGGACCTCAGCAGAAGGCACAGTAGTTGAAGCATCAAATCTTCCTCATTGAAGACTTCCTCTGATCATTGTCGCCCACCTCATACTCAATCTTTGCTATTCTCTCAGGGAACTTACTAGAATCGACAGTCATGAGTGAAGATACTGCAATTGAGGACTTTGAAGTCGCTCTGGTGCCCATGCAACTGGATGCCTTCGTCCTCAACCCAGCTGTGTGCGGTACAGGCGCTGATCAAGACACCACGGCTCGCATCTGCCCTATCACTCAGCCCAACTACACCTTCTTGAGACTCGATAGCTTCCTGCTCCAAAGCGATGTTCAGAACCACGTCGCTCTGCACAACACCGCCCCAGCGTCTATCAACTCACGCTTGACTGACCTGGGCGGTCGTCCAGAGCCCAAACCGCTCCGTCACCGTCATGGCGTCTATGTCCACTGGACACTTCCCCGATTCTACAGATCGGGAGTCTCCTCAACTGGCTCTGTGCCAGAGTCCAGAAGAAAGAAAGAGAGAATGAAACGGGGACTTGATGCCGCTTCCACTACGACTAGTGACGCTCCTCATCAAACTCCAGACTTTCTGCAGCCGCCGACACGCTGGATCGTCATCAGAAAGCTTGAGTTGGACAGTATTCAGCCGTCCAGTGCGAAAGACGCTTTCAAGGACCGCGAGTATGAAGCTTGGGTCGTTGAGAGCGACTATGTCTGGTCCTTGGAAGACATTCCCGTTCAGACAGACCTACAGACTGATGTCGCGCCCTTTGTGCTTGGACATGCTGGCAATGACGTCAACATCAACGAGCAAGCGGAAGTCTTTATCGGGCGCAAGACACCGCTGGCTGAGTGGACTGAGAATCCAAACCCCTCTGTTGAGCCTCCAGATATCAGTCTCCTTCGCAGTGGAAATCAGCTGTTTGCCGATTTCCAGATGCACAATGCCAATGTTTTCAGCATCTTGGACAATTTTGAGTATGGCGATAAAGAAGATCCATCGTATCTTGACTACGCCAAGGCAAGCTACTACGTCCTCGGTTGGCATTGGAAAGACACTGTTGATCCTCTCTGGAAAGCCGGTGCCGAGTTCACTCATGGAGAGAACCTACAGTCGCTCTTCATGACGCTTCAAGGAACGGACCAGGCAAACCCTGACCCGTGGATGGATCTCAAGAGTCAGATCCGCATACTTTGCCATGGATGCATGTATGATGTCGCTTGGGACCACGAGAACAAGCCCAATAGTGTCCCTGCCGATGGTTTCAATGACCGTCTGCGTGATCAGAAGCAAGCCGCAGTCGCGGTTGGCACAACTCCAATGGATGCACTGCTCGCGTATTGCCACGCACGCGGCGACGCCAGCGACAATTCAGAGGACGTCGCCAAACTGGAGGAAGATATTCTAGCTCTGGAGTCTCTCCTACAATCCCGTGATGATGGCGTCGAGGGCCAGCGAGAAGCCAAAGATTCGGTTTACAACTGGTCTTACGATCGCTCACCGGGCGGCACGCGATATTTCTTCGCTGAGGCTGACGACAAGAGCACAAACCAGCCCAAGGAGCCTGAACCAGAAGCGATTCAGACGATCAATGAGTTGAACCTCACTCAGGCTCTGCTTGACTCCTGCAACAGAGCCATGCTACAGTATCGCTGGGACATGTTTTCCCTCTGGTGGAAATATGCCAGCGATTTGGGGCAGAGCGATAATCAGGGCAATGATCACAATGAGGCGTTCAAGGCTGAAGCCGAACGGATCTCAAGCCGAATCAGTGGTCTCCAAACACGCATCACAGATCTTGATGGGCAGGTCAAGACTCTGTTGGCGAATAGTCTCTTGGCCACGGTCGAGTCGACAAGTGAGCCTGTCTTCTACGGTGGAAATGATCCTACCGTACTCATTGGCGGTATCCCGTCTGGCTGGGCGCTTGATTATCTCGATAATCTCTGTATTCGGGCGCCATATCAGACCATTACCCACGAAGCTCTGCCCGGTAAACTTAGCGCCATTTCGACTCTAGTGGAGAGCAAGTTGCCGACTGTCTTGACAGCAGCTGCCAAAGCGCTCATCACAGAGTTCCACGCCCTCCGACCTGACGGCAATGTCTCTGGTGTGCCACCTGATGGCAAATTCCACCCGCAATTCCACGATCAATTGACTACCGATAAGCGCTGGCGTGATCAGTGGGGTGATAGACAGCCGTGGTTCCCACTCTACGCAGAGTGGGAGGCTGAATACACCCATATCCCGTTTGAGTTCTGGAGCCTGGATGAACACACTGCGCGTCATTCAGAGAACAAGCTGGTCAGATATGGCATCACGGTTCCATCTGATAGCGAGACTCCTCCACCACTGTGGGAAGCTCTTTCAAGTGCTCAGAAGCAGGATATTCGCGTCCTGTCTGGCCGAGTCCTGATTCTGCCTCAGCCCAGCTTTGCTCTTGGTGCCAAGATCAAGCAGCTTTTCCAGAACACACCGCCCAGCATCCTCAATGAGTACCTCTTAGAAGAAGATCGAGAGAACCTCCTCGCCAACATTAGCGAACTCTCTTATCTCTCCTCGCCACTCTCCGGCTTCACAAGCGGTCTCGTTACCCAAGCAGAGGGCAGCCATCTCAAGCCAGAAAACAAAGTCGTCGACTCAGACGGAGAGTCTAGCTCTGTTCTCAAAGCGGCAGAATTCGAACCAGCTGGCCTGACAGGGGACAAACTCCAGCTCATCGACGGTAACTCAGCGCTCACCCCGTACGCCGCACTGGTAAACTTCACCGACAGTGATCACTGTCCCTTCAAGCCGGTTACACACGGCCAGTTCCGGTTCCGCAAGTTCAACGTCATCGACAAGTTCGGCCAATCCCTCATGGCCATTGATCAGCGACCGCAAAGGGATGGTCCGCCACCTATCTACCCCTGCATAAGCAACTTTTATGCTCCACAGGAGGTAACACTCGATGGCCAGAAGTATGCCAATACTGTGATCAAGGATAACCCGGAGCAGTCTGAGTTTCTGCAGTTGCCCCCGCAGATGAATCAGCCTGCGCGTATCAATGCCAAGTTTGTCAGACGCATTTCTGATGATGCTACTGGTACTCCGGGGCCTGCGACGTGGCGCCCTGTCACGGAATGGGAGACGCCGATATGGGGATGGGTCATTACCAACTATGCAGACTACGGTATACAGATCTTCCTTCCTGATGGTACGTTCTACCGGGAGGTCCGTGTCGGTGGGCCATTGGGTACTCTGCAGTCACCCAAATGGCTACCTTTCAGTCCTGAGACAGATACACAGCCCACACCTGATACTCGTGAGCTTGATATCCTCGTCTCCAAGCTGGCTGATCCGAAATACCTTCTCGGGTTCTGGGGCATGATCACGACGGCGCAGCAGAAGCTGCCTCCCGCTCCTGACTCCTATGCCCAGTTCCTGAACTCCATTGTCGGGAAACCACTTGCACTCGTCAATACTGGCTGGTCGGTTGAGCTTAGTGGACCGCCTCTTGATATCCAGAGCACGCAAGTCAAGGTCGTTGATCCCGAGCGGACACTGCTAAAGCCATCGGATCCTAATGACAAGACTCCTTACTACGAGCTTCAGTTGCGCCTCGGTAATGAAGAAGCTGGCTACGATGGACTTGTCGGTTACTTTGACACCACTGATCCTGGTTCTGACCAGCTGAACTACGACAAGATCAAGACCTTCTTCGTTCCAGATGGTAACTCCACTGAGCCATTGATCCGTCTTGATACAGAGCAGTATCCCATCTTCAGTCCCTTCTGGCAGCCCCCATTCTCCGGCACCTCCCCCGCCGTTGAGCCCCAAGCCTACGAGAGCCAACGCAATGCCCAGATGTCAATCTTTGGCGCCATCCTGGATCCCTTCACACCCATTCACGCCTACTCTTCCTTCCTCCCAGCAGTAGAACTCCTCCTCCCAACCTGGACGTGGCAAAAGGCCATGGACACCATGACAGCCTTCTTCCACGCTGGACCCTTGACTATGCCCGTCAACGACGTCCCTGGATATCTTGAAGCTGAGAAGCTTACAACCAAAAACGCTCGGGATATGCCCAAGCGTAACTTGCTGCTGCCTTCCCTTGGAGGAGGAGACTGGAGTTGGTTTCAGCCTTATGCTGAGGAGGTTGCAGCAGGAGATGAAGATCCCGGGGCTGTTTATAATGCGTTTGGTATTGAAAAGAAGGGCGATTTGATAAAGCCTGGTTTTGAAGATGGACCGTACGCTGCTGTTGAAGGGTTCTTGCAGTTGAGAAACCCCATTGTCGCTCCAGC